TGACTGTCCTAGAAGAGTTTTCCTAGGCTAGGGACCAAGTTAAAGTCATTGGCATTATGCCAACACTTTCTTAACATAAGACTTGTCTTTAGTAGTTGAAAAAAAAAGTATTTTCTTGGGCCCTTAGCTCAGATTTTGATACAGTATATGTTGGGGCTTGCATAAATGCCAAATACAACTTTTTAGTAATTTTGGCATCTGAGGAAGCACAGTCTCTCTGGCCTCTCTCCCAGCATCTGTTGAGAGTTACTGCACTAGACTTCACTTGAATGCATTTGACGGTGAACTTAGCAGACTTTCTGGTTTGTTTTGCTTTTGAGACAAGGTTTTTTTTTGTTTGTTTGTTTTGAGACAGGTTTCTCTGTGTAGCCATGGCTATCCTGGAACTTGTACTATAAACCAGGCTGGCCTCTAACTCAGAGATTCATCTGCCTCTGCCTTCCCAGTGCTGGGTTTAAAGATGTGCCCCACCACCACCAGGCTTGAGACAGGGATTTTTTATGCAGCCCAAGCTCCACCACTACAACTAGCAGTGTTCTTTTCCTCTTAAGCAATTTCTTAAGCAAATTTGTTTATATTGCCAAAAACAATGCCTTCATGAAAGGAGGGTATTAAAAAATTTAACAATAGGGGCAATTTATTATTTATAATTCTGTTTTCTGGCAGAAGAAAGATGCCCCCCTCTTTTCTAAATTTTGCCAAGTAAGAATGAAACTTTTCCATCTCTAATTAAATAAGTATGTTCCTCTTTATGCAATGAAGATACTTCTTTTTCCTGTCATCACTATGTAATAGCATATCCATCTTTGGTAGCTCTTTGCACCTATAATATGATGGTTATAGCATAATTCCAAATTATATATTCAGTTCTTGGCCCAGAACTCACTTGTTGAGTAGAGGATAACTTTGAACTCCTGTTCTTCCTGTATCTACTTATGAAATACCGGGATTATAGGTGTGTGTGGTCACACGCAGCCTCCAAAAATCTCTTTTTTATTGAATTATCATCTTAATATTTTCAAAGTAAAATTGGCTGGTAACTTAAAAGGGCAGTTGGTAGATGTCAGCAGAGTGACTCCTCCCTGTATTCCCAGCAGGCAGGAGTTGAGACAACTTGTGAGTTTAAGGACCACTTGGGCTGCATAGTGAGTTAGTCTAGGCCAGCCTGGCCTAGAAAGTTAAGAGCCTGTTTCAGAAAAAGAAAAAAAAGAAAAGAAAAGAAGGCAGCCCATACATAACATGCTCATAAACAAAACACTATAGTATAACATAAAACTAAAGGAACATGAACATGCACCTGCACACACAAACATGAACATGCATACATGAACATGGACACACATAAACATAAAACATGTATATGTGAATATTACAGTCTTGAAAGAGTAGAAGATAGTTCAGTGGCATAACTCTTTATCTGATTGATTGTTTTGGTTTTTTTATTCATGTATTTATTTTGAATCCTGGCCACAGGATTGATTGGTTTTTTAAGTCTTCATATGATTCAGTAATGTAACACTGCTTTGCCCACTGAGACATACTATCTCTTAAAAAGATACATAGGTGGTGTGCTACATCTATGTAAAACATTCTACCATGAAGGAACATTGATATCATTGTCAAAATAGGCAAAAAGTGATAAATTATCTATTAATTATTAGTAAGAAGCTTGAATTCCATAATGACATTGGTTTCTGTATAAACTAACATAGATCATTTTAAGTTCAAGGGCCATAAAATACCAATATTTGTGCTTTACTAAGATAATAATTTAACTTCATTAAAAGAATTTGGAGATTTCTGCTTTTTAGAAATCTAGTTGAATGTTAATATTTCTAATTTAAGAGGTTCTGTTCTTGAGGAATTATTTTTACCAATGAGGAACAACTTTAAAAAAAAAAACTTTCATGTATTTGTTGTGCATTTGTGTGTGGGCTTGTGCACATGAGTGCTAGTACCCAAAGAAGCCAGAGAAGGCACCAGATCTCTTGGAGCTAGAGTAGGAGGCTGCTGTGTGCTACCGTGGGCTGCTGTGGACTGTGTTCCAACCTGGGTGCTGGGACCCACACTCATATCTCTAGAGGAGCAGTGTGTGCTTCTCAGCATCCAGCTGTCTGTCCAGCCCAGTGAGCAGCATCAGAAAGTAATTGATGCTTCCCTTCTTCTGTATTGTATCCATTCTGTATGATAAATGCTCTGAAAAGCAATGAAGATAGTTGTATGAACAGCATAAAAATCTTCAAGAAACCTAAATTGTGTTGGAAGGGTTTTTCTCCTTATATGCTACAAGCTAACAGTAATACTTTAATGCACAATTTACCTTTAAAACTAGCAAAATAACCTTCCTTTGAAACATAATATTCAGAAAAATGTACATTTTAATACAGAAAATAATCTTCAATGCTTTAATGCTAAACATTACCAAGGAAACCTAGGCAAAAAAGACTTGTCACGCCTATAAAATTACAGGTTTCCGTGAAGCATTGATTCAGTAGTCAAGAATATTTTTTTTTCATTTACTTAAGATAGCAGAAAGACCACCATTTAGTTCTCTCATGGACTCTGAAATTACACTGAATAAGAATTTACCTTTTGTAAACAAGGAAGCTGCTCTCATGCCCTCACCTTCTAAAGGATGTGAATTAAAACTCAGTTACTTTGTGTTCCTGGAAAAATGATAGCTTCATTCTGATCTAAATGTTTAGTTAGAACACTTCGGTGATAGTACAGTTACTTCTGTTTTGTGAGATAGGGCCTCACTTTTGTAGCGTAGGCTAGCTTTTTGTTTTGTTTTTTTGAGACAGGGTTTCTCTGTGTAGTTTTGGTGCCTTTCCTGGAACTCGCTTTGGAGACCAGGCTGACCTTGAGCTCAGAGAGATCCACCTGGCTCTGCCTCCCCAGTGCTGGAATTAAAGGCGTGTGCCACCACCACCCGGCTCATAGGCTAGCTTTGAACAAAGCTCTTCAGCCCTCTGCCTCCCAAGTGCTAGATTATACCCCTGTGCCAGCCACGATGCCAGGCTTAGTTCTGTTTACTTTTAGCATTTGCATTACAAGTGTAATAAATAGCAATGATAATCTCTTAAAATTCTGATTTTATTTCGCTGGTAGATACATTTTTTTATTTCTAGGTAACCTAAAGACTTTATTTTTATTAATTTTTAATTTATTATTATTACTATTATTATTTGGTTTATTGAGACAGAGTTTCTCTGTGTAACAGTGCTGGCTGTCCTGGAACTTGCCCTGTAGACCAGGCTGGACTCAAATTCAAAGATATGCTTGCCTCTGCCTCCCCAGTGCTGGGATTAATGATGTGCGCTACCACTGTCTGGCAAGACTTTATAATGAGTTCACAGGCATTGTGTTAACTTCCACAATTAACAATTACACTTTGAAAAATTATATGTAGTATTTGATTTTGTGATTTGTGGTTTCATAAATATTTTTGAGGACTTAAGTGTACTTAGCACTTAAAATTGTAATAATAATGTAATGACATTAAGCCATTTTTTGAAACTACATTATAAACTTGAGAAAAGAAAATTAATTCCTCTGGATTTCAACTTCCTCATCTGTAGGAGAATTAATTAGGTAATCTCTGAATCTCTATTTTTGACTTCAGAATCTGTACTTCGTTTTTATTATTTATTTATTCCTATTTTATGTGCATTGGTGTTTTGCCCACACACATGTCTATGTGAGGGTGTCAGACCCCTGGAACTGGAGTTAACAGACAGTTGTGAACTGCCATGTATGTGCTTGGAATTGAACCTGGGTCTTCCGGAAGAGTAGCTAGTGCTTTTAACTGCTGAGCCTTCTCTCCAGCCCCCCAGAATTTGTACTTCTTAAAAAAGAGAGGCAAGAAGCCATGGTTTCTAGAGTTTCTATTGCTGTGATAAAACACCATGACCAAAGGTGGCATAGGAAGGAAGGGGGTAATTTCAGTTTACAGCTTGTAGTCCATCATTCAGGGAAGTCAGGGCAGGAACTCAAGGCAGGGCCTAGATGCAGGTACTGATGCAGAGGCCATGGAGGAGTGATACTTAGTAACTTGCTCCTCTTGGCTTGCTCAGCCTGCCTTTTTATGGTACCCAGGACCACCTGCCCAGGGCTGGCTTTACCTACAGTGATCTGGGCCTTCCCACATCAGTCATTAATCAAGAAAATGCACCACAAGCTTGCCCATAGGCCAGTCTGGTGGGGGCATTTTCTCAGTTAAGGTTTCTTCTTTCCAAATGACTAGCTTGTGTCAAGTTAGCATAAAACTACCCAGCACAGTGCTTGCTTATGAGAAGGGCCACTCATAGGTAGATAAGATTTCTCTATAGCAGATTTAAATATTTTTATCTAAAACAAAGAATAATTTTTTCGATGTACTAATCTTATTTTGTTTTTTACTGATTATATTGGATAGTAAAGAGTAGAATTTAAGATTATAGTAAATAAAGTAAAACAGAAGAAAACATACAGTGTCCTGACAAAGAGAACTTTAAGGAACAGAGGGGAGATTTCCCTTACTATAATATGTGGTCGATTGGATAGCGACAGTTGAGGAAAGGCAATGCCTTCTTCCTGCCTGATGGGACAGAATTTCTAAAAGTCTACATGAAACACCTAAATCAGCTCTGTGTGTTACGATCTCTTTCCCCTCCCCCGCTTAAAGTGCGAATAGGAAAGACTAACAAGTCTGAATTGCTTGGTGTATTGGCACAGCTCTATCTTAAACTGCACTTCCGAGTGTTTCATCACCTCACTCTTCATATGCATGTTAACATCTTAAGTGCATTCCGGTCGTTTTCTAATTCATTGACACCACATGCCTTGGGCCCATCATATTTTTGAAAAGTCAGCTTTATATTTTTAATTGGTTTTCTTCAGTTGAACTTACAAAAAAAAAATCAGAATTTTTTTTTATCGGGAAGCATATGCTTGGGTTGTGGGTGAAACAGCTTTATATTTCTATAATTTCTACTATGTATAATTTTTGTCTTTTACAGATATTGATGATGCTCAAATCCTTCCCCGTTCAACCAGAGTCAGACATTTTTCACAGAGTGAAGACACTGGAAATGAAGTTTTTGGAGCTTTGAATGAGGAACAGCCATTGCCTCGAAGTAGCAGCACGTCTGACATCTTGGAACCATTCACTGTTGAGCGAGCCAAAGGTGCAGTTCCTGTCGTTGACAGTTCATCCCGCCATGCTCCGAGCTTGCAGAGTTCCACAGAGGCTTCTTCAATAACTAGATCCACTGAAAGCCACATCACTGATTCTCATAGTAGAGAGTCTTCTCTGGAAGTTGGTGATAGCATATATGACCATCTCTGTCATTTAATAGGTCCAGTAGAACTTGCAGATGCAGCTTTTGAACAAATCCAGTACATTGACCTTGAAGGAGACGATGATCTTCTTTCTTCCCTGAAAGAATACTTTAAGGAAAACCAGGAAAATCATAGTAAAAGTGAGCTAGGTAAAGATACAGCTTCTCAGAAGGTGATTATTGCAGTAACTAGAGATGAAATACCATCTTTAGATAAATTAGAATACATAGGCCAGGAAATAACATCAGAAAATCTCATGTCTGTCGTTGGGACTCCTGAAAATACAGCATTTCCAAAAGAACCAAGCTCAGCTGTCTTCACGAGCACTCTTGCACCTAACCAGTCAGTTAGTTTCCTGAGAACACAAACTGCTGAAAAATCTAAGCAACTCAATCTTGATGACCAGTCCTCGGATCCTAGTTCAGATAGCCCTTGTGATAAAGACAAAAAGAAACATCTGTATAGACAAACAGCCACAGAAGTAGATGCCTGTGTAGATGTGACACTAGGTGAAAAGCTTAAGAGTATACAAGTTAATGAAAAAATCACCCCATATATAATGCATGCCAAGAAAACTGCACTAAAAGCACCAGTAAACCGCAGAATGCCTCATGTTTCCAACATTAGCAAGCTTTCTCCAACTAAGAGGAGCTTGTCTGAAACAGTAACGCATAGGGCCAAAATCATGAAAATTGCTGCTAAGAAACGCAATAGTGTTCATGTTACTTTTAGACCGTCTACTGAGTCTGTCCAGTTCTATAACCCTCTGGAAAACAAAGAGGCTCCATGGAAGATGAGACTACGGAAGCTCAGTGCCTTTAGCAGTAGTAGCAATAGCAGTGCCAGCAACACACAGACCAGCTCAACTAGTGGTACAGACCTTGTAAAACTTGGTGTGTACAGACCTCTCGATACGATTGGTGCAGCATCAGTTAGCAAACCAGTGAAGGAATCCACAGAGATTCCCACCACCACATCACAGAAAGAAGGAATTGCAAGTAACCAGTTAGGGAGCCGCAGTACTCTTAGGTCATCAAGTCACGAGGCAGGACTACAGCAGGGCTCCCTGGGTGGCGTTTATAAAACTGTTGTACATGCTCTTTCGAAGCCGAAGGCAAATGTTTCCCCACAGAGGCAGAACAGAATGCCAGCAGAGGCTCCACTGAGGGATCTGTACAGTCATGTAATGGGCTATTTTGGAAGGAAAGCTGCAGGTGAGCACTAACAGTGTGCAGAGCGCAAAAGGAGAAAGACAGCACCAGTTTGGCTTAATGCAACTGAAGCAAGCTCTAAGCAATCAAAAAGCTTTGGGATGGTCACTGCTTTCTCTCTGTTTGGTTATGCATGCGCCTTTCCCCAGCTGTATTTTTCCCAGCATACAATATTTATTTAAATTACTAATTTCCCTTATGAGGCATTTAGTTAAACCTCTTTGCTGCTGAACAATAAAATAGAAAGGGAAGATGCAGGAACAAATTTAATGACCTTTCAAAGGTCAAGTATTTTTCTGAGTGTGCCCCGTGAGTCTTGAAGTTTACTGAGGAGTTGGCTGTACCTTCTCTCTTGCCCTACTACTTTATGTCTAAACGGGCATTAGCTGTAGCTAATTAAATTCTCTTATTCTTACTGCTAACTTAGTTGGTTTTATATTTTTTCCTTGGTAGAAGGTTACTTTGACATCTAACATAACAGAAATCAAAGTCCTAAAACTAGCACCAACATTATACTTAACTATCGTTGAAGAGGAAATCCTTTCTTTAATCTCAAAGAAGATTTAATCAGTTTCCATTCAAGGCATTTCTGAAAAAAAAATTGCTGTAGGCCTTTAGCCTTTCATTCTTGTGTATAGAATGTATCTTTGAAAGATTGAAATATTTATTGTGAAATTTTAAATGTGCATGAAGGTTTCATAACAGCTAATCATTATTTCAATGTGGAACCTAAACGTGCAGATTAGAAAAAGGAAGCAAGATTGTAGTAACCACTTTATCTTGTTTCAAAATTAAACAGCTTTACAGATACAGAAACTTAACTTTCAGCAGTAAGGTAGGTTTTGTTTTCATTTGTTTTAACATGGTTTTGTTAGCATGATTAACAACGCTGTGTAATGCATCTTGCATTGAGCCATTAATGCCACTTGAGGGCAGTATATTACAGCTTAGCAAAGCCTGGCCAGTAATATAAAGACAATGGTATTGCACAGTCTGAAACTCTTCATGGTTCAGTAGGTATCTAAGCAGCGCTGGTCTTTGTTCTACAGAGAAACAAACTTTTCAACAGTATGATAGTGACATAATTATCTTATTTTCCACCAGTTAGTTTTCCAAGTGAAAATAATCTTGTTACTATAAAATCATATTATAGTGTCAGTGTTAAACAAATCAAGTAACTATTTTGGTTTAATTTTTTTCTTGACTCTTGTGAAAATTTAACCTTTTTTTTCTTCAAGCACTGAAGTTAGATTTTAGGCTAAATCTAAAAAACAGTATACCAAATCATGAAATTTTAATTTGTATCCAAACCTAAATGTGTTTGTGTCTCACTGAGATTTGCAAAAATTGAAAGGATATATTCTTGCATTTATTCTCTGGGAAAAGAGGGAGAATGTAAATTATTACAGCCCTATAGCAGCATAGAGTAGGAAGAAAGAAAAATATACCAGTTTCTTTATAGGCAATATTAACCTGACTTCAGCTAGTGCTTACCTCTAGCTTTCTTGCTGTTTAAGGTCATACTGAAGATTGACTAACATCTGCTTAGTTAAATAAAGTAAATACAATTTACTAATTCTTAAAAATTAAATCTGAAAGGAGGGAAATTATTCATAAGTGCATGTTTGGCAAATAATGGATATGGCAGAGGTACTTTATTTTGGATTATTTGTTTCAAATTTAGAAGATACAGTTAAGTTGTTGCTTACTATATGTAGTTATTTATTTGCTTCTAGTAAATAAAGAGGATACGAGCCCCAAACTGCCTCCTCTTACTAGTGACACTGGCGGCAGCAGTGCTAATGTCCCTGACCTGATGGATGAGTTCATAGCAGAGCGCCTTCGAAGTGGGAACGCCTCGGTGAGCTTGCTTTTTCTGCCATTTATTTGGCTTGAGACAAAGATAGAAAACTAAAAGATAGGTATAATGTATATGTGGAAGTTCTTCTTCAAAACTTCATTTTACTGAAATGTAACCCTTCTTTATGAAGTAATTAAAACATTTTACCATGAATGTATTTATTTTATCTGTGTATATATGTGGGTGCATGTATGCCATAGCATGCACATGAGTGTCTGAGGACAGCTTAGGGGAGGTAGTTCTCGCTTCTGCCTGTTCATCAGTGTTCACAGTAAGCACCTTCATCACTGACTTGCCAGCCCTTACAACTTTTAAAAGCTGGACTTAGGGGTACAAAGTTCTACCCAGCTGCTCAGGAGGCTGAGGCAGGAGGATAGCTAGTTCAAGACATTACCTGAAGTACAATGTAAGTTCAAAGCCAGCTTGTGTAACTTAGTGTGACCCAGTCTTATCAAAAGTAAAAGGAAAGCTGGCTGGACCTCAGTGATAGAGTACTTGCCTAACATTTACAAATCTTTAGGTCAAATCCCCAGAGGGTTGGGGTGGGGTGGGGTGGCTCGGAATATGTGTATTGTGTTTTAAACTAAAGATTTTAAATTATATTTTTTCAAATTGTATTTTTTTATTAAAAGACATAAAACATTGAAATTTGTAGCTTTTACTACAGACACACTGGACTATTAGGAGTTGTAAGCCACTTCCTTCCTAGTTCCCCTTACACTCTTGTGAGGCTGGGATCACCTGCTAACTGTCAGTAGGAAAGGACAACAGGAGTCACTTAGCCCGGTTCCGTAGTTTTGATAGCGTAAATATTGCTTAAACAGTTCAGATAACTCTAGAGTCGATGTTAAAATTTACCATTTATCTGAAATATTAAATATCAGAATGAAAATAAAAGCTAGTGTCTCTCTAGTTCTCAGTTGCAGAATTGCTTTTAAAAACTGTCATATTCCACTTGGGTTTTAATTTGTCCATGACTGTTACCTTTCCTTTTATTTGAATTTTTTCTTTGAGTGAGTGAGAATTCTTTTAGAATCATCTTTTTACGTCCTCTGTTTGCTTCTTTGTTCCACTGTGAAGTTTATTTTTCTTCTCTTTAAGAGCCTTAGACCCAGCCCCTCTCACCTGATAGTTGGCTCTTTGCTTTAAGTAGAACTACAGTAGCTTAGGCATCAGGTACATGTCATTACATACTATTTAGAATGTTTGATAAGTGTGTTTCTCCTGTCCAACTGAGATCCTAAATATCAGCATTTATACTGGTTATTATCTTGAAAATTAAAAGTTTCGGATGCTTAATTAAAATTTTAAAAAATATGTTAATTGTAAAATGTTTCTTGTTTTAGACTATGACAAGAAGGGGAAGCAGTCCAGGCAGCCTTGAAATCCCGAAAGACCTTCCTGACATTCTGAACAAACAGAGCCAGATGCGTCCTGTTGATGACCCAGGTGTACCCTCAGAGTGGACATCTCCTGCCAGCGCAGGGAGCAGTGATCTTATGAGCTCGGACAGTCATTCAGATTCTTTCAGTGCGTTCCAGTGCGATGGACGAAAATTTGACAGCAAGTATCTTTTACTGTTTGAAGCTGTGTTTTCTGTCAGTTGTTTGTTGATTTGTGGATTGCATAGCTTTTACTTTGCTCTCTGTTGTTACCCTATATGTTGATTTCACAAATTCTGAAGTAAGGTGGAGGGAGTCATCTTAGGTTGAGACCATTTTATTTTGAAAAAAAAAAACCCCTTTTTGCAGGGGGCATTTTGAAAAACCCAAACCATTGTCCATCATAAGATAGATTACATATTAAAGACAGAAGATGTGAAAAGAAAAATGATTTAGAACAGTGTTAATATTAAAGGGTCAGCATGGTTACGAGATGCTGTTATTAATGCACTCATATTTGACGTCTGTTGTCCAATTCTGTTCTACCCAGACCCTTCCTTGAATATTCCTCTATGTTAAATATCAGCAATTATTATCTGGTACCATATGTCACTACATCATTATGCTGCTGAAATTCTCTCTACACGTAGCATTCAGAGAATAAAGTAAAAAACTTCGGGAATCAAGTTTGTGAAGAGCTAGGAGGTACATTGGAGTAGTGTATGTTTCCTTCTGTAATAGATTGATTGTATACTGAGCTCAAACAGGTGCGATTTTAAGAGATGATGATGATGGTGATGTGTGTGTGTGTGTGTGTGTGTGTGTGTGTGTGTGTGTGTGAGAGAGAGAGAGAGAGAGAGAGAGAGAGAGAGGCAGACAGGTAGACAGGCACACAGGCACACAGATTTATAAAATACTTAAAAAGTAGTAAGTGTATCAGAAACTACATAAGAATGTCATTTTAAAATAATCATTGTTAATAGTAAGGTGTTACAATCCTAACATTGTGTGGTTGAGGGAGGGCGGGGACTGGACTATTTGAGTATTGTGTTGCTGCAGTACTAGCATTTCTTCTTCCTGCAGACTTTGGCTTCGGGACTGACATAGGGATCCCGTCCTCTGCGGATGTGGATTCAGGTTCTGGCCATCTTCAGAGCACCGAGGAGCAGGAAGTGGCTAGCCTAACAACACTTCATTTAGATTCAGAAACAAGCAGCCTTAATCAGCAAGCCTTCTCTGCTGAAGTTGCAACAGTTACTGGTAAAGTAACTCAGGGAATGTTAATCTTGGCTTCTAAACTTCCAAAGAATGGTTAAGTTTCTCCAGCTTGTATGACCTACTGCTATTTCAGTGGAGTTTTTTGTTTGTGTTTGTTTGTTTTGTTTTCATTTATTTCTTATTTTATTTTAACAGAGGAGCAAACAAAACAAAACAAAAACCCAAAGTAGTTTCTTGACATGAAGTACATATAGGTAAGCATTAGTGGACCCGATGTATATGCACCAGACTAGAAGAGGTTATTAAATAAACAATCTAGAAGAGGAAAAAAGTACTTCACTATATATTTTTCATTTTTTGGTTTTTTTGAGACAGGGTTTCTCTGTGTAGTTTTGGTACCTGCCCTAGATCTCATTCTGTAGACCAGGCTGACCTTGAACTCACAGAGATCCGCCTGGCACTACCTCCCAAGTGCTGGGATTCAAGGTGTGTGCCACCGCTGCCTGGTTCAGATACTTTTTAAATGTGACCAAACTCAACCTTAGTATAACAAGTGGTGTCCTTATTTATTTATTTTTTTAATATAAATGTCACTGCAGAGTTAGTGTAGAGATTAAAATGATCTTGAAGGCTCTACCGTGATCTAAACTTACTCTGGTTCCAGCTGTACTCTGATGCACCCCACTCAGCGGTTAGCCATTCCAGTTCATAGTCATGAGTAGTCACTGATGATTCTAGGCATCCTGATCTCTTTAAAAACAGAAATACTTCCCTATGCAAGCTTGATTCTAATTCTACTTTACTTAAAACATTAGTAAAACTGCTATGTTTTTCAAAGGTTATTACAATGTGAAAGAAAATGTCACCATTTTTTCTTATGTCTCTTTATTCATCAACACTAAAGCTCCAAGAGCTAGGGAGATGATTCAGTGAGTAAAGTACTAGCCAAGCGAGCACATGGATCTGAGTTTGGATGCCAGAACCCTTGAAAAAGCCAGACATAGCAATGCATTCCTTCTGCCCCAGGCTCCAGGAGCTTACTGGCCAGCCAGTCTACTTCAAAAAATAAGCTCCAGGTTGAATGAGAGATGCTGTCTTAAAAGTTGGATAGCAATAGAAAATGATGACATCCTAATATCAACAATCAGGCCTCTCCATGCTCCCACATGTACCTATGTGGATGAGTGCACCCACACACACAGGTACATACACACACAAAAGTAAATGAATAAATAAATAGTTCAAATAAAAAAATCTAAAAATTAAAACTTATGTATAAAAATTGGTTTTACGTTTGTTTATGTGGTCTTTTTTTGTAGCTAAACTTCTAAGAATTTGTAATATGCATGCAACTTATGTGCTGCATTGAATGACCGATTCTGTTACCCTATTGGGAGGTTTTAGTAGTAATACTAACCTTAATCTCAGACATTATCAGTAGTGCAGGGGTGTTTAAAAACAGCTGTTTTTTATTCACAAACATAAAATTCAGGAGTGAGTATAACTTCCTATACTCAATATACAAAACTTTGCAACATAATATTCCTTATGGTCAAGTTTGCATGCATTATCACACTGGTAACTGTGTTTTATCAGAGGGATGTTACTTCCCCTGGAATCTTCCCTCCTGTTTAATACAGAAGTTTTCATATACTACAAGAAATCTAGAGGGAAAGATTAAAAGATATGAAGTTTAATACATATAGTTAATATAAGCTCTATGCATATTGGGGATATGAGTATCAGTATAAAAATGTTGGGTTGTTTTTTTTTTTTTTTTGCTTTAAAAAATTCTTTTAACAGTGAAAAACCTTTAAGTCAGCCATTATAGAATCTTGTTATAAACTTAAAGGTAGTATTGATCCTCTGGTAGTTCATCTCAGTATAAACTGATTTTAAAATCTTAGGTCTTAAATATGGATTTAGGATATCAAGATGACTCATTGGGAAAAGGCTCTTGCCACCACTCCTAACAGCCTGAGTTGGTCCCAGAGATTTACATAGTGGAAGAAGAGAAACAGCTCCTGCAAGTTGTCCTCTAACCCCCACACATCCTGTGGTCAGTGGACACACACACACACACACACACACACACACACACACACACAGAGTAAATCTAAAATGTCTAATGTATTGATTTTTTATGAAATATGATAATACATGGAGATAAAAGAAATAGATTTGTATTTCAAAGCATTTGCTGAAAATATTGATGCCTCTTGGAGATGCTTGAAGTTTTCGCTAAGTGTTAAGGAGATTTTTCACCCTGTGCCTTCCGTGTGATAGTGCTTAGGCTAAGCTTCAGAGTCCTCAGGAATTTTCTTGTATGTCAAACAAAAGGAACATGCCACCTAGTTAGTAATATTACTCCTCCTAATTAATCCTAGGTGGAGTTGTATTATTTTTATACATAATTATCATATGATTATGTGATTATTATAACATGATGCATATACTATAGTTCTTTATCTTTTGAGCATTTATTGTGCTACTTTTAAAAATTACTCAAGTGATATGTGGAACCACACTTTTAGAAAATTAATACAAATGTGTAACTTATATTGTTTATTGCTTTACTGTATAGAAAGAAGTAAAAAGGAAAGGATTTTACAATTACTGGGTCTAGAACCTTGATATTTCTGAGTTAGAAAGAAATTGAAGATGAGAAAATGAACTATGTATATAGCTCCTGTTTAGTACCAGTGGACTCTGTTCTGTAGCTCCCATCAGCTATCCTGTATGGCACTTATGCTGCACAGTGCTTAAACTAGCAAGGTCACTTGCTGTGTGTCATGCACTGTGGTAGACACCAGCAATCAGTGATATGTGACGAGTAACAAGCCTGTGTTTAAGGAGTTTGTATTCTGCTGAGGGGTATTTCCAACTGAACAGGCATGTTAAAGTCAGTATGATAGTGGTATAATGTGAAGGTATGAAAGTCTATCAAGCCATATGGCAGGGAGTTACACTTGGTAAGGTCAGGAGTAGGCATCAGTAGGAAACAATGTCTAAGCCAAGAATTTAATCAGGATTCTGTGCAAAGAAAAGAAAACATGGAAAAGGTCTAGACTATGATGATTTTAATAAATAGAGTTCATTTGCCTAGAATACAAAAATTATAGGCAGATTGTTGAGTAATAAGAGCATTACAAGGATGCCTGAACACTAGGAAATTAATTGGAGGGTTTGCAAGAGAAATGAGAAGTCTTGGAGGATGTTTGTTTGTTTGTGTTTGAGACAGGGCCTCAGGTTGTAGCCCAGGTTGACCTTAAGTTCGTGGTCATCCTGCCTTAGCCATCCAAGTGCCAGGATGACAGGCATGTGCCACCATATCTATTGATTTGCAAGATTTTTGTTCGGTTGTTTGGTGGTTCTGTATGGCAGTTTTTGTGGGGAGGGGTGTAATTCTTTCACATGTATTTGTTTATGTTGTAAAGGTGTGCATGCATGTGTGAGCTGTGTACATATAAGGTAGAGGGTGATTTCCCAGAGTAAATTGTCTCCCTCTACGACATAGATTCTGGGGATTTCAGGTGGTCAGACTTGTTAAGCAAGTGTCTTTAACTGACTGAGACATCTTGCTGGCCATGTTTGTGTGTGTTTTAAAGACAGACTGTCATTAAGCCCAGGCTGGCCTCTGACTGAACATGTAGCTGAGGATGGCAGCACTGCATTCTTGGTCCTCCTAACACCTCGGTGCTGGGGTCATAGGCATATGTGTTGTTTCCGGAGTATCTTAAATGACGACATAATCAGACTGCATTTTCTTGTGTTTTCACTGTTACATGAGAACAGATTGGTGGGAAAGAGTAGAGATAAGGGGACACTGGAGGCTGGGAACTACTATAAACCAAGCTAGCATTGATCAGTATTATTATATAGAAGAACAGTCCTGTCACTGTTGACTTGTCCCAAATTCAAATGAGAAAAAGAGAATAAATTGCACTGGTACCAGAGTCTGTATAGCTAGACCAAGAATGGAAACAGAGGTTGTCACTGTCACTGATGGGTCCCATTGCCTGGCATACCTATTCCTGATCCTGTGTTAGTCCAGTGGTAGACAGTAGTGTGATTTTTGTTGACATCTTTGGAGAGTATCTAACTTGGTTTATCTTTTGATATTTTAAAGTTATGTCCTATTGGTGTTTGAAATATTATGTCTTAGATAGGATACTGAATATATTCTTCACAGTAATTTTATGAAATTTTATCTTTACAGGTTCAGAAAGTGCTTCCCCAGCCCATTCCGCTCTGGGATCCAGGTCACAGACACCTTCCCCATCTACACTAAATATAGATCACATGGAACAGAAGGATCTGCAGCTTGATGAGAAGCTCCACCACTCTGTTCTGCAGACGCCAGATGACCTAGGCAATGTTTGCAAGAATTTCTGTTCTTACAAAGTACTAGTGTCGGGAGAACTTAGGTCATCTTAGCAGTGCTTATTCATACTTAGTTCACGTCTTTGACTTCTCTGAGTCTTCTGTTGTTTTTCTTGCCCTTCAAAGGGGCTATTATTAAAATAGCTCTGATTGTTTTAACGTTTTATCATAGGTTTTAACAGCCTTATAATTAGTGATGGTGATTGCACTATATGGTGGTGTGTCATTTATTGATACGGTATTTTTCCTCTCCTCTCCCCACCCCTCTCTCTCTCCTTCCCCACTTTCTCCTCTTTCTTTTTTTGAGACAGGGGCTCACTATGTATCCCTGGCTGCCCTGGCCTGGAACTCACAGAGGTCTGCTGTCTCTGCCTCACAATGTCACCCTACCTGGTTCCTTGTTTTAAAATTTTGACTTTGAGACAGGGGGTTGCACTGTAGCCCAGGTTGGCCTCTGACTCCTACTACTCCTGTCTCAGCTCCCTAAGTGCTGGGATTGTAGGTGTGCTCACCATGGTTGAGGTCTCTGAATACTGTCCTTGAGTATCTTGCTCACTCACAGGAGGAAGTAGCAACACTATCTTTTGTCAGCCAGGCTTTTAGTAAAACAATTTGTCAAATTAGTAATTTCACCTATTGTTTTTTCAGTGCATTTAACTGAAATCCTGCATAGTATAAAAAGCATCAGATAAACACTTGGAACATATTCTGAAAATTAGCCAAGGACATATCTGACAAAATACTTAGAAATCCTATTAAAGATTCATTTTTATTATTCATAGCACATTTAACCTTACCAAAGGAAGAAATGAAAGCTATTTAACTCCTGGACTTCTTTAAAGGGCTCATTCTATTTTTTTTCTATATATATATTCCTAAAATTATATTATTTTATTTGTTTTTCTGTGTATTCTTGGTATTCTTTTCTTTTAATTGAAAATAGATTGTACTCTCATATGATACATTTTGACCACAATTTTCCCTTTCTCCCCTCCTCCCAGGCTGCCTCCCCCCACTTCACTTCTCCCCTAGATCCACTCCCCCTATGTTTCCTCTTCAGAAAGAGACGGCAGCCAAACAGGACAAAACAAGATACAGTAAGACAAGACAAAAGCTCATGTAGAGGCTGGACAAGGCAGCCCAATAGGAGGAAAAGGGTCCCAAGAGCAGGCAAAAGAGTCAGAGACACCCCCACTCCCACTGTTAGAGGTTCCACAAAAACACCAAGCTAACAGCCATAACGTATGCACAGAGAACCTGGTGCAGACCCATGCAGGCACTGTGCTTGCTGCTTCAGTCTCTGTGAACCCGTATGAGCACTGTCTAGTTGGTTTCCTGGGCCATGTTCTCCTGGTGTCCTCCATCCCCTCTGACTCCACAGTCTTTCCTCTCCCTCTTCTCACAGGGTTCCCGGATCTCTGAAGGGAGGGATCTGATGTAAACCTCCAATTTAGACGCTCTCCATATAAAGTCTGGCTGTGTGTCTCTGCACCTGCTCTCATCTGCTGCAGGAGGAAGCTTCTCTGATAATGGCTAGACAAGGCTCCAGTCTATGAGTATAGCAGACTATCATTAGGAATTAGTTCAGTGTCTTTCTTTCTTTCTTTCTTTCTTTCTTTCTTTCTTTCTTTCTTTCTTTCTTTCTTTCTCTCTCTCTCTCTCTCTCTCTCTCTCTCTCTCTCTCTCTCTTCTTTTCTTTTCTTTTCTTTCTTTCGTCTGTGGGCTATCCAGTCTTCTGTTCCTGGCCATCCAGGCGTTATAGGACATGGGCTCCCTCTCATGATGTGGGCCTCAAATTAAACCAAACATTGGTTGACCACTCCCACAAATCCTGCACTACCATTGCCCCAGCACATCTTGCAAGCAGGGCAGATTGTAGGTGAAGGGTTTTGTAGCTGGGTTGGTGTCCGGGTTTCTCTTTTTCTAGCCTGCACAGTACCTTCTTGCACCAAAGAGATTAGAACGTAGGGGTAAAGGCTCCAAGATGCAGGACCAGCTCAACCTCTCTACATTCTGTGAGCTATGCAGATGTTGTCCTCTCCAATGGGGCCCTGCTGTCAGTTTTCAGAGAGTGACCTTCCATCCTAGCATCAGTCTGGGTTATTTAGGGATCTCCACAGGACCCCCTTGGCCAACAACTCAACCAACTACAACCCAGTCCCACCACTGGAAGCCTTGCCTGACTACAAAAGATGGCCAGTTCAAACTGCAGAGCCTCCATTACTAGGAGTCCTCACTAGGTTTACCCCCATAAATTTCAGGAAGTTTCCACTGCACAAGGTTTCTACACTGTCCCCCAACCCCCCCCCCCAATTTCAGCTTTCTCTCCCTGCACTGTCTCCCTCTACCCACCCACTCCCTTACACCTGATCCCTCCCACTCCAGTCCCCACCTGCAAAATCTATTCTATTTCTCCTTCCCAGGGAGGTCCATGCATCCCCTAAAATAAAGGGCTCATTCTTTAATGTGCAGTTATATAACTCCTAAGCTTCTGCTTGGTGGATTGGTGTGACCTTTAACATGTTTGTATACTGTTTGCCCACCATTTGGAAGAAAAATTGTAAATTACAAAACAGTTAATATGACTAGTTTTTAAAAAATCCATAAATGATTCATGTAAATTTTACCAGGCTATTACCATTTTGCCAGTTTATATGTTTTTCCACATATAATTTAAATTTGTAAATATTTTAAAATTTAAGTTTACCTATAAACTTAAGTAGTTCTGTCCCCAAAATATGTGTGCTTCCTGTATAGCCTAATGCATTAGTTTCATTCACAATATTTAACATCAATTACCATTCTTTTAGCTCTAGTACATTTCCTCAGTTAGCCCATTAATATCATTTGTAGCTACGCCACACAACTTTTATTTTAAACAAATACTGTTTATTGTTTCTTGCCCCTTTAATTATTGAATATTTTATAGTTTTACTCTGAGGAAGTTAAGTTAGAGACAAATGAATCGATTCATCTCAATATATATATACACACACGTGTATGTATGAAGATGCTGTAGAATAGGAAGAATATTACAACTCTATGTGGTTAGAACTCATTAGCTTTCTTTTGATTTACTGGCTTTATACTGAAAGCCTACTTTTTATTCTAAAGATTAACTGTATAATACCTTTTAAATATTATTAGTTATTGTATAATTTACATGCAAAGAGAAAATTTAAGCATTACAAATATAAGATACATGTCTTGTAAAAATGGACTGTCTATAAATTATCAATATATTTGGAATATTATCAAACATGAAAGATCTTATTTAAGCTGGATGGTGGTGGCACATACCTTTAGTCCCAGCACTTGGGAGGCAGAGGCAGGTGGATCTCTTGAGTTTGAGGCCAGCCTGGTCTACAGAGCGAGTTCCAGGACAGCCAGGGCTACACAGAAAAAGCTTGTCTTGAAAAACCAAAAAAGAACCTATTTAAGATTCTTAGGGTCTACAAAATGTTTAGTTTCTTAAGTTCTTTAGTTGCAAGGATATCAGCATTTTTGTGTATTTTTGTTTAGTTATTTATTGCAAGATTTCACTGTGTAGCCTAAGCTAGCCTTGAATTCACTTGAACAAAGTGCAGGCTGGACTTGAATTGGTGAGGATCCTTCTGCGTCAGCTTTGCTAAGAGCTCGAATTACAGGCATGAGTCACCATTTATACTTTCTTAGAATTGCCTATACAGTTGTAAGCACTGAATAGTGGATTTTTTAAGCTGGAAAAAGTCTGTAGCAGAACCATCTATTTTATAAGTGAAGAAGTATAACCTTAAGTCATTAAAATAATTTGTTTAACATGGTTAGTGGCAGAAATGAGACTAAAATCAAAGTTACCTATATTTATTGCTTATCACCTTGTCAGTATTAAAGATAAAAAGGATAATTATGCCGGGCAGTGGTGGCATGAGGCAGAGGCAGGCAGATCTCTGAATTCAAGGTCAGCCTAGTCTACGAACTAGTTCCAGGACAGCCAGGGCTACACAGAGAAATCCTGTCTCAGAAAACAAAAACATCAAAAAAAGCATAATTATGCTAACTACTATTATGTTCAAATTTTAGTACAAGAATCTTTCTTATGTTGTGATATCTCTTTCAGTGCTACTGTTTGGACACTCTAGCTACATAGAAATTGGCTTATGAAGACTTCCTACAGGAATTACTTTTAGCCTAAGATTTTCTGCTTGATGATATAGTCTAAACTAGATATTAAATAAGTGAGAGTGTGTGATTATAAAATTGATATTTATGTCCCACATACATTTCTCTATCACAGGCCGGCAAGATGGTCCAGTGGGTAAAAGCGCTTGTAGCACAAGCCCCACCAGCTGCCTTCAATCCCCAGAACCCACAGTGTAAGGAGAGAACCAGCTCTACACACATATGCTCTCTCACACACATCACACACATACATGGATAATAATTGCCCTTTTTGAAAGCTGCACAAGAAGTGGTAGTTGCATATTTTTTCTTCAGCAAAATCTCAATAACAACCCTATTAACAAGAAATTATTACCAACACAGGGAATTATGAATTGGTAAGGTTTTGACATTGTCAGAAAAAAATGACTTATATTTGCTTCCTTTTGTTCACATTTGTAGATATTTAAGATTCTTCACTTAGGTTGGCTCTTTGGGTACTGACACAATTATGTTATTTTTTCTGTAGAAATCAGTGAATTTCCATCTGAATGCTGTAGCGTGATGGCAGGAGGTACGCTCACTGGATGGCATGCTGATGTTGCTACTGTCATGTGGCGAAGAATGCTGGGCATTTTGGGAGATGTCAATGCTATTATGGATCCTGAAATACATGCCCAAGTTTTTGATTACCTCTGTGAACTTTGGCAAAATCTAGCCAAGGTGAGGAAAAAATAAAGACTATAAGAGGAAAAGGGAAGAAAAATAAAGTATTAATAAGTAGAAGGCCAGGTGTGTGGTGCACACCTGTAATTCTGGCACTTGTAAGACTGTGACGGGATTATGAGGTAGAAGCCATGCTGGGATACATAGCAGGTTCTAGGCCAGCCTTGTCTATCCTGTCTCAAGAAACAACAAGCACCCTTCCCCACAAAAAAGAAGAGGCCTTTGAGAACATAATTACAACCTTGATCTTGCTTTGAATTCAATGAATGCTCAGCATGGTGAAGTCACTTGGCCATAATTAGTCATATGAAATAGGGTGTTATGGTAGAAACTGGATTTGACTTCTGTTTAAGGTAAAACAGCTAAAAGAGGAAATAGTGTAATATATGTGTGTTACCTTTCATTTGAAAATTATAGATCAGAGATAACCTTGGCATTTCAGCAGATAACCTGACTTCACCTTCTCCACCTGTTTTGATTCCTCCACTAAGAATTCTTACACCTTGGCTTTTTAAGGTAAGCTTAATATATAAAACATTAATATATTTTCTTTAATAAATTAGTCTTGAGCATTTGATAGAAATTTTAACAGATGTTTGGTCTTCAAGAACACTTACTTTTTAGCTAGTATCTTTAAGAAATTTTGCATAGAGAGGAGAGTTAGGCATAGCAGAATCACATTATTTATTTATTTAATAAAGCCAAAGTAAGTGTAGAAAAGTATGTCTTAAATGTTTTAAATACATTTCCTTATTTTTATTCATTTTCCCCCTGTCAGGGATCTCATCCATAGCCTTGCACATACTAGATAAGTGCTATAGCACTGAGCTATACCCACAACTCTAGAAGAGCCTGTCTTCATTATATTTAAATAAAAAGTAAAGCACCAACTACAGTTTTAGAGATTTGTTTCTCTTAAATATTATTTGATGCTTGAACTGTTTTCAAGTGAAACAGTCTGTGATTATTCATATGTACATTGAACATTTCAGTAACAGTAGTTTCCCTAGTCCTGACTTCTGGTTCATTAACAAAATTGGACCAACAAAGAAATATATGAAAACAGATACTGCTCATTATATTCGATTGTTTAAATAGTTCTAAACAATATTGATTTTTAGTATTAAAACTGATTTCTTAATTTTAGGCAACCATGTTGACTGATAAGTATAAACAAGGTAAATTACATGCATATAAACTTATTTGTAATACAATGAAAAGAAGACAAGATGTATCTCCAAATAGAGATTTTTTAACACATTTCTACAATATAATGCATTGTGGATTGCTTCATATTGATCAGGTAAATATGTGTACCTTTTTAAATGTTGTTTTATCAGTTGTGTCTGTTGTCAATTTGACAACAATTAGATTCACCTAGGAGATGGGCCTCGGAGCAGGTCTGTGAGAGATTGTCTTGATTACATTAATTGAGGTGGGAAGACTTGCCCTCTGTGAGTGGGTACCATTTCCTGTGCAGAGGATCCTGGACTGTGGAAGATGGAGCAAGCTGAGACTAGATGAACACATCCATTGCTCCATTCTGTCTGTGCACATAATGTGACTAGCTGCTTCGAGTTCTTGTCACTGTGACTTTCCTGCAGTGATGGACTATAACCTAGAGATCTGAGTTAAACAAACCATTTCTCTTTGAGTTGTTTAGGTCAACGTATTTTATCATAGCATTAGGAAAGGAAACAAAGACATTGGTTTTCAGTTCTGTTTAACTCTGGCTTTTTAAGAATTAAAACTGTCCTTCACACGTAGTGACTATATATAATTCAATCCCACTTTATGACCTTATTTATTCTTGAAAAGTAGTTGAAAACAAGCTATCACAGTACTTAAAGGACTGATTTCAGTGTTCTTTCAGCTTTCACATGCTAACCAACTTACTTTTTGAAGAGATTAAATAATCCTTTGTTTAGGTTGTTTTTTTTCTTAATATTCCAATGTGTCTGTTTTTAGGTATTTTATAATTGATTGTTAATTGACATTTGAGGAATATGAATTTGCTCACCTTTTCATACAGCAATCATAAGGTTTATTCTACTCTAAAATTTACCTCATATTTTCTTATTACTCAATACATTGCCATAATGATAATTACATTGCCTTGGCAGCTGTATCATTTATGATCATTGAATAATCATAGATAGGATTCTAGGACACGTATTTCAGGGGTGTTGATCTTAGTTGGAAAACTTAAAGTGTGGAAGATTACTGTAACTTGGCTAAATGTCAGTTGGAGAACACTAATATTCAAAGCTGATAGTCAATTTCTTTCTGAGCAAATGAGAAAATTTTATTCATTAATTTGAAAATAATTGTAGCATCCTGACCCTTATAAACATATCTCATATACTATTACATTCTTACTACTACAAAAATAGAGTTTTCATTTAAGGTCAGTCATTCAGTAGAAGGAAGACTGGTTGGGAGAAGAAGGGGATCAGTTGGGAGTAGGTGGGTCAATGACAAGAAAGGGTTATGGAGTAAGTATGATCAAAATATATTATGTACCTATATGAAAATAGCATAATGAAACATTATTATATATAATCAATACAGGCTAGTAAAAACCTTTCCTAAAAAGTCACATTGAATAATACAACCAAATGCACTGCATCTTTCCTGGTAAATTCCGGAATCATAATGCCATATTAAGAATATTCACTTAAAAACACCTACCTTTAGGTTTCTGAAGCCAGATATCTATTATTCAGGAACTTCCAACTTGTCTTTTTTCAAATAAGGTCTCTCCAGTTGCCACATAGCAGCTCATATAGGTTCAGTGTAGATTCAGAGTGTGAATTATCACACAGAAGCAGCTAGGTGACTGGAGAAACTGCCCTGTAATTCAGTGTTAGGAAATGTAGGGCTAACATTTGCTGTGAACAAAGAGCCCTCCCTGCTCTCTGATGTGGAAAACAAAGTTTTTGTCATTTATGTCAGTTAATCAAATGTGTTTTAAGTTCACTTTCCTAACAAAATATACTAAGCATGTATTAATTGGAAGAATCAAAATTGGTCTTTCCAGGTAGTCAGCCAGTATATTTTTTATTTCACATTTTACCTGTTTTTAATGATATCGATTAGTTGATACCCAAGATTACATATGTGGTCATCTTTCTTTCCTCTTCTCTTCTTCTAAGGACATTGTCAATACAATCATCAAGCACTGCTCACCTCAGTTTTTTTCACTTGGTTTGCCTGGTGCCACAATGCTCATTATGGATTTTATTATAGCAGCTGGGAGAGTGGCTTCTTCAGCTTTTCTTAATGTAAGTCTTTATTTCTAGTTCTTTTAAGATAATAAACTCTATCAAGACTCAGCTCACAAAGCAACAAAGAGAATACTATTGCTGATAAAATATAACAAATTCATGTCCAGGAAAGTTTACCATTTAATTGGAATTGATTGCTTCTCCCACATTAAAAAGAAAGAAATTCTGATGTGTTAAGAAATCAATAAAATTAGTTGGTGAATTCCCCCCAAGAGCTATAAAAATGGTTTACATCCAATAGGGAAAAAAAGATTTACAGTTGGGAAATCTATGGAAACAGGGAAGGAAGTGAAGAAAGGGTTGTGAGTTATTGTGAAAGATAAGAGTGGAGAATAATCATTACTGTTTATATCCATGAAATCATCATGTTATTCAACTAGAACTTTTAACAGTTAAAATCTGAATGGGATAAACAGCAAACACTTATGGGATAGCTCAGAAATATGTCCTTGGAGTAACCTTTACACGTTAAGAAGCTGTGAGATAATTGCACAGAAACCAGGGTGAGTGGAATATGTAAGTAGCAGAAATGAGCTAGCCAGGAAGGTAGTAACTGTGGACATAGTGCTAAAAAGGGTTAGATTTTGTCTAAGGGAAATTGAGTAATGATTTAAGGAAACAAGTTGTTAACATGATCAAGTGTGTATTTTAGAAAGATCACTTTCTAATATCCTGTTAGATAAAAGTTTAGGGTATATAGAAGAGAAAAGTACTTGTATGTCATTTTAAAACATGTACAACCATTTAACAGATTATTTCTGTTTTGAAAGCCCAACAGTGAATGATAAAAATGCTGTTTGTGGCAGTACATACGGTGTGTATTGGATACTGATGAGAGGTCAATAGAATAATTGTATACATAAGTCAAGAGGTCAAGAGAGATGTTTTAGAGGTGTTGTTAAAGCACTGAACCTGGATACAGTTGATCATGTGGAGGAAATGTACAAATGAGAAAGAAAAGACTGTATTCTAGCCAAGTTTGTTTTTCTACAGTTCCTGGAGAACAGTCATCGTATCTTGCATTTTGGTATCTCCAGGGCCTGGGCCAGGGCAGTGCTTAGATTCTCACTGACAGTGTTAAGTACCTACTATCTGCTCAACATTATGCTTAGCCCTTTGGTGGCTTTATAAACTTTTTCTTCCTTGTTCATATATGCAGAGGCTATTCTACAGAGGAACAGGGAAGTGTTCTGTATCACCCAAAGCGTGCTCTGCACAACAGCATTTACTATGATCTGGTTGCTCATTAGCATGCTGAAGTACTGAATCAGAACCTACGTTATGATGAGATTATAGATGATGAATGAAGTAATTATGGATACATCTTAGTAGGTTTTAAGTGCTGTGGACCAGGTTCTGGTGCTATACTGGCTTAAAGAAATACTTTAAAATATGGAAAGAGGTAATTAAGCCTGTGTCTTGAGAATATTAAATAAATACAGTACTCTGAAGTAGATTACATGGAAGACAAACCAAATATGAGGCACAAGCTACAACTTCATTGTAGTGTTACCATAGTACCCAGATAATCAGCCTCTTAGACTGGACAAAGTTGATAGAACTCAGGAGAAACTGTCACTTCTGATTAATTTACTGTGAAAACTTTTCCTCATCAGTGGACCAGTTACTCCAGATGACTAACCATATTTTCTGCAACTTTTGTCAAAGTTCTGTAGAATTAACCCTGATGCCTTTTATGTGACCCAGTTTCCTCCCCTACATCTAGATATTGGTTATGTATAGCATCCTTTGGGTAATGCAAGTAATAGTCCCTTTCTATGCTAATTCGCATGATGCCTATTACTGAGGAAGGCTACGTAGAAGCCAAATCGTTGTAGGAAACAAGCTAGACACTCACATGTGCCCTGTAAGGTTAGGGGCAGTCTTCCTCTGGATGGTGTTAAAAATCCCAATTCCAAGTTTTAGCTCTTTGGATTCTCTTTTAGATTCCATCCATATCATCTCTCATTGTTAATTTTTCCTTCCTTCCTTAAGCAGATTCCAAGTGATTGAATTTTGTCTTTCTCAACTATTACATAATCACTTGTTCCTGTTATAGCTTCATATCTAGACATTACCAGTTACCTTACCCAACTTAGCAAAAAACCTCAACTCATCCCTTCAACTGAATATTGAGTTTTTTTAAAACTAGTTCTATTTGTATAGGATAGTTTTAAACCAGGATAGTAGACGTCAGTTTACTCTGCCCTTTCATACCTGTCCATCTGGGCTGGTTTTTAATCTGGACATGAAGTATTTTATCTTTTGTTTTATTGTTTGTTCAGACAGGCCTTCAGCTTGCAGTCGACTTGCTCGGCCTCCCTAGGGTAGGGATTTTAGGTATACGTATACTCTTAATGGGTCTAGTAAAAATGAGCTGTTCTGTTCTGTTGAAAAGTCATGTAAGCTGAAATCATACTAAGCTGCAAGTCTTTTTTAGATATTGAGTCTTAATTTATGTGAATGGAAGTATTGTGTTGCTAATATACTGGTGTTTCACATTTTTATTAAGTATTCTTAAACCTCTAAGCCAATTGGTAAGTAAATAATGCCTTGGTCCCTGTTTAGTGGGCTTGTAAGAGGACAGAAGAGGAAATGTTCAGTATTGATATTTAAGAAATGACTTAATAAAGTGAAAGGCAACATGAAGTACTTTCTTCTGTAAGATTTATGTTGACATAAATTATGTTAGTAAAGATTAAGAACAGTGGTGTTTTTCATATTCATAAAAAGATAAAAAAACCATCTAGCCTGGTAGCCATTTCTTGGAGACAGAATTAACATTTTAATCTTTTTATTTACCCTGAAGTAGTGACATTGAGTCATCAGCTTATTTGAAATAATGAAGTGTGAACTACATTTAAAGTAATTTAGTCAGGCATGGTTGCATGTATCTATAAGCCCTGCACTTGGGAGGCTAAAATAGGAGAATTGCAAGTTCAAGACCACCCTTGCTGCAAAGTGAGTTTAGGGCCAGGTTAGGCTATGTAGCACAACCCCGTCTCTATAAATAAATAAGTAAATAAAATATTCATTTTCCCTTTAATTATGTTAAATGTTTATTGGTTACCAGCTTTTATTCCTATTTAAAATTCATTAGCTGCGGATGATTTCTGTTCATTGGTTGCTTTTCAAGAAAGTTTTGCTATTTGTCCATTATATTTACTAAGAATAATCATACTCTCTTTAGAAATTCTAGATGGAAACCTAAATCATTGACATTCCCTTTTTTAATCTTTTCATGCTCTCACTGTCCTGTGTAATGTAATTATAGAACAAAATGTTTAACAGTAGTTGAAGAACACAATTAGCTAGCATTTTATAGAATGTTTAAATCTGATACACAGGCACCACGAGTGGAAGCACAGGTTCTTCTGGGGTCCTTAGTTTGCTTTCCCAACTTGTACTGTGAACTGCCTGCTCTCCATCCCAACATCCCTGAGATTGCTGTTTCTCAGTTTACGGATGTGAAGGTAAGAAATAAGACACTCGTGTTTATTTAGCATATATGATGTAATCTGAATTCTCCCTTTTCCTTTTGAAATCTAGTTACTAAAGAATGTTAATACTCCAGCCATAAAACTGCTAGGAGCAAAGCCTTTTCATGTTTAAGAGCTTGGAAACCTTTCCTCATTACTGAGCCTGCTCACTTGTCTGCCCCTTAGGAGCCATTCACTTACTCCCTGACCCAAGACCTATGCTGCTAGTGTACGGCTTCTAAGGTTGAGATGCCAAACTAAAGCTGTATGTTTGACTTCCACTCTGTATTTCTTGATACATTATATCAAAGTGATAGAACTTTCCTGCCGTATGGAACTTTGTATGAAACATGGAGTATCTCCTGTACCTGAAGCATTAAAAAGGGCTTGGGCAATCACCAGGAACAGGCATGACAAATAACACTTGTGATGTATGCACTTCTCAAAGTTTCAGGTTAGAAAACTAGTAAGAAGTTGTTTTGAGCCTCTGCAGAAGTCAGCCTCTGTTTAAAGAGGAAATAGGATTTGATCACGTATTTAGTCCTATGGACTCAATACCTCTTAGACCAAGGCTGGCATGGAAATTTCTGTAAGGTTCTGACCCCAGCAGTGTGAGCCATAGTGAATAATTCTGTGACTAGGTCATTGTCTCTGACTGATGCCTGTGTACTCCAGATTCCCAAGGGCTTAGCACTCCTGTTAATAAAGTGTGCTGTGACAGTAACTGCACCATGTTCCATGCTTAATTTGAACTGGCCTTTAGCATCCGAAGAGCTGAGGAGGAGACACTGCAGCTCTGGGGGAATCATGCTGACGCTTTATTTTTCCAAGTTGCTTTCTCTGAAAGTTTGGTTTCAATTTCTTCTTAAGCCTTTAAAAATATTTTATTTTTAGTTAGTAAAAAGAGTATAGGTTTCATTATAGCATATTTTGAACTGTTTTGAGACAAGGTCTCACCATGTATCCTAGACAGGCCTAAAATTCACTCTGTAGCCCAGGAGTGCTTGAACTAGTAGAGATCCTCATGCCCCTGCCTCCCAAGTACAGGTATCACAGACTTATAGCACCAGGAATACTGTCAAAAGATAACTTTTTATTTTGTTTTGTTTTGTGTTTTCAGACAAGATTTCACTGTGTAGCCAAGACTGGCCTGGACCTTGTGGTCCTTTCATGTCTGCCTTCTGGCTTCCGAGAGTACAAGCATGTCATGATCCCTCATGTACTGTTTTCTTTTTATCATACTGATTTCTTTAGATATGTAACTATAAAAGGAATTGCTTTGGGTGACATAGCTATTCTAACAATATTAATATGTCCAATAAATGAACTACCTTTTCTTTCCAGGAATAGATTCTATTTAATCATATACAATCTTTCTAATGTGCTGTTCAGTTTATTTATTGAATACTAGTAATTTTTTGAGGACTTTTTAAAAAAGAAAGTAGTATCCTTATGGATTTGGGTATCTAGGTAATTCTGGCCTCATAAAATGAGTGTGAAGATGTTCTTATTTCTTCAGTTTTTTTTTTTTAAAGAGTTTGACAAAAATCAATCTTACTTTTAGAAGTGTTTGGTAGAATTTACCAATGAAGCCATCTGGCCCTGCCTTTCAAATAATATGTCTAAAAAAAAAAAACCTTAAAGGTATTCATGCCTCCTAAGTGTCAGCTCTGTTGTATAGTGAATCCTTATTACTCTCCTAATCATGAAAAAAAAAGTTATTTTTAAAGATATTTTAGTTAGAAATTTCATGATTTGTTAGCTACTTTTTAGAATAATGCTGGGTTTTTATTGAAAGTAAATATAAGAACAAGCTGTTTACTTACCCACTCTATTTCTAATGTCCAGAGCACTATCTGGCCCAGAATGGCCAACTAGTAAATATTTGTTGAATTAGTACATGAAAGCGAGTCATTTCTTCTGTTTCTTCTTATTTTAGGAACTTATAATTAAAACTGTCCTAAGCTCAGCGAGAGATGAGCCCTCTGGTCCTGCACGGTAGGTCAGATATTCTTAGATCTAGCACTTAATGTAACAATTCTGCTTAGTATTTTGTAAAAATTGATTACTATGCTTCAGATTGTTCCAGACTTCCAAAAGCCTTCATCCTTCATAACTAATCATTTGTTTTAATCTTGAGTACATTTTACTTTATCATTATATTTCATTAGTTATTTATGCAGTGCTTTGAGGTACAGCAGTAGAGATCAATGTTCATTAAAATAGTTATGATGCAGAAATTGATATATCTAAGGAAATAGTATATTTTAATAACCACCTATTTGATCATGATTTTTTTTAATGTATTTGATATGTACGCAGTGTTCTGCATGCAAGTATACCTGCAGGCCAGAAGAGGGCACCAGATCTCATTACAGGTGGTTGTGAGCCACCATGTGGTTGCTGAATGGAACTCTCTGCAAGAGCAGCCAGTGCTCTTAACCTCTGAGCCATTTGATCATGATTTTTAATAGACTATCAGAAGATTTTTACTTTCCCTTTCTTTTCTTGCATGTATGTGTACATGTATGTGTACACATGTCTATGCAGGCGCTCATATATGCAGGTTCTCAGGCCAGAGGAAGACATCAGGTGTCTTCTGTTGCTTTCCATTTTATTCCATTAAGACACGGAGTCTCTCCCTGAACCTAGAGCTTGCTGAGTTTTGGCTAGGCTGTTGGCCAGCATGACTCTGCTTACCCTATCCCCGCTGAGGTTGCTGGTTTATGCAGACCTGCTCAGGGTTTTATAGGAATGGAATGCTGGGATCTGAACTCAGGTCTTCCTGCTTTGGAGTAAGCACTCTTACCCACTGAGCCATCTCCCAAGCCCAAAGTAAATAATCTTAATTACTTTAATAAATTGGGCAAGAAACACCATACTCTGTTTTATGTCCCCTAATTTCTCTTGGTGTGCACACACAAATTCAGTAACATCTTGTTTGTAGCCTCTAATTTATTTAATATTTCAGTATTTTAAATTAATTCATTGAGTTTTGTTTTTTGAGACAGGATCTCATGTAAACATGGGCTGGCCTTGATCTCACTGTATAGCCAAGATAGCCCTTGAACTCCTGATCCTCCTGCCTCTGCTTCCCGAGTGCTAGGATAACAGGCAGGAACTACCACACCTAACCAAAGCTTGGTGTTCCAGAAAAAACCATTCAATGTAGGTACTCTCAGTCCCTGTTTTTGGTTAATTGAGTTTATGAAGCATTTTGCTTCATTTTAAAATGTATTGTTGCTTTAGGACTTCATATATTGCTATTGCTGAAACCTGAAACTTGGTTATTTAGATCTGTCAACACTGTGTAAGACTTACGGATTGATGCCAAGGGAGAAAAAATAAGGCAGTAGCCTTTACTCTGAAGACATTTTGGTCATCTCAGTAGTGAATAATTGGGTAGCATTAATAGTCTACACCATAAGAGGAGACTTCAGCCTCTTCTGTGTTCTGGAAGAAAAAATACTTTTTCATTGAATCATTATAAAATGTAGTGTTCCACTATATTTAAGAATATCAGTATTAATACATGTACATATTTTTATATTTGGAGAGAGCCATTATACAGTTTATCAGAAGCATAAACTTGAGTACATTGATGTCTTCCTGATTCTGATTATCAAATAACTTTCAGCTGAAACTTAGCTGAGTTACAGTTAGGAAAATAAAACCCCACAAGACATTAGGGAAACAACTACTACAAGGTCCATTTCTGCTGGTGTGTTAAATCTGAATAACACATTTTTTACTTATTTCATCAGTTTATTTTTATGTAAGTTCATTTTCCTGTGCCAGTCAAGAATATTAAAGTCTCCTGTTGAAAGCAGGTTCTGCATTTGTTTGGGAAGAAGACTTGTCACATTGCCAATTTAGTAATACGGATTTGTCAGGAAGGTACTGCACATTGTCCCAAGCCTACCTCTCTGTTTGCTGTATCACTATTGGTAATGAATACAGTAGAAAATTAGGTTTCAGTCTGGGGTGTTTTTATTTCCACTTTTCTTATCAGCTAACTCAGACAGTAACAAAGTCTTTGATTCACTCAAACAGTGAATGTACTGAATGTTTGGTTTTCTTTAAAGTCATTTTAGGCTGTCTTTTTTTTTTTTTTCTTTTCAGATGTGTAGCACTTTGCAGTTTAGGGATTTGGATTTGTGAAGAATTAGTCCATGAATCTCATCATCCTCAAATTAAGGAAGCTCTGAATGTAATTTGTGTTTCATTAAAGGTAAAGAAAACTATTTAATGAAATATATTGAGATCATTTAGGACACATGAATTTTTCCCCCAGACATTTAATAATCCTGGGCTCCAGTGACTACAATATTTAATAATCATTTTCATCATGTATTATTACATTAACTCCTTGATTCTGACTTGTTTTAAGAATAGTCCAACTCTTGAATTTAAGATGTTTTTGTGATGAGCTCTTTTGTCTGAACTTTCCTATATTTGACTTTTTTTCCTAGAAAACATGTGAATGATGTCTTAAAAACAAATGCGTCATTTAAAACAGCATCTAGAAGGGAGATGATTTAGTGTGTGTGTATAAGAGAAGGGAGGAGGGGCAGAGGAGAGGTGTGGTATAGGTTTATGTGTGTGCTTGTGTGCTGAGGCCAGAGTCATGGGCAGCTTTGAATCAGAACTCTCTATAACTCTAGTTCCAGGGGACCCAGTGCCCTCTTCTGACCTCTTTGGATACTAGGTCCGTACATGGTGTACATGCAGGCAACCAACACACAGTTAAAAAAAAAAAAGTTTAAAAAAAAGTAGTGATGATCTAATCATGTAGAAATTCTGAATAAAATTATAAATTTTTATTTTGTTTCATTAGTATTTGAGGGTTTGTTTTTGCTAGTGTTGTTTGAAACAAAAATCTCATTTAGCCCAGGCTAGCTTCTAATTCAATAGAATACTCAGACTGTCACTGAACTTGTAACTTTCCTGCTTTAGTGTTCTGAGGGCTAGAATTTCAAGCATGCTCCACCATGCTCTGCTTATATGAATATGTTTTACTTATGAAAGAAAATTTATTATTCTTGTCTGAGAACTTTCAATGCCACAGCATCTGTTTAAGGCTAAATAACATAATTTACATAGTAAGCACTTTTGAGTAATACCAGTTAATTGACAGATATTTCTGATTATATGCTATGTTTGAGGCATTTTGCTAAGGAAAGTGAAGAATAAAATGAACACTGTACAGATACGAGCTTTGAGAGATGAATGGTACAACAGCTGAAATTTATGATAAAAGGAAACATGAGATTTAAATTACCAGAAGCTAATGTTGATGAATATGCATGAAGAACTTTTATAACAATGATTTTTGTTGTTGCAGTTTACTAATAAAACAGTTGCCCATGTAGCTTGTAACATGCTTCACATGCTGGTTCACTATGTACCTAGACTTCAGACTTACCAGCCTGATTCACCCTTGAAAATTATTCAGGTAAATAACTTTGCATTTATTTTTATTATAAGCTTATATAAAAATTTCTTAGATATGGGTACCTTGAAATATGAAATTATTGCCAGGCGGTGGTGGCGCACGCCTTTAATCCCAGCACTCGGGAGGCAGAGCCAGGCGGATCTCTGTGAGTTCGAGGCCAGCCTGGGCTACCAAGTGAGTCCCAGGAAAGGTGCAAAGCTACACAGAGAAACCCTGTCTCAAAAAACCAAAAAAAAAAAAAAAAAAAAAAAAAGAAATATGAAATTATTTTAATAGGTGCAAATTTCTTTGTGGGTAAATACTTGGTGTTCATCTTGCTTTTTTATAATATCGAAGTTCCTGATAATTCTTTTGTACTTTTAAATTTTATCTATCTATCTATCTATCTATCTATCTATCTATCTTTCTACCTACCTACCTACCTATCTATCTATCTATCTATCGATCTATCTACCTATCTATCTGTCTATCTATCTATCTATCTATCTATCTATCTATCTATCTATCTATCTATCTACCTACCTACCTACCTACCTACCTACCTACCTACCTACCTATCTATCTACCTACCTATCTATCTATCTATCTATCTATCTATCTATCTATCTATCTATTTATTTTACATCCAGACTGCAGTTTCCCCTCCCTCCTCTCCTCCCACCCCCGTCCCCTCCCCTCTGCACCCCCCATTCCACTCCTCTGTTTCTGTTCAGAAAAGGGCAGTCCTCCCATGGATATCAGTTTGTTAAGATACGTTTATTTTATGTGTATGTATGTGCACCACATGCATGTAGTGCCTGCAGAGGTCAGGAACTGAAACTACAAATAGTTGTAAGCCATCCTGTGAGTGCTGGGGACTGAACCAAGGTTTTCTGCAAGAGCAGTAAATGCTCTTAACCACTGAGCATTTCTCCTCCTTTGTAATTTTTGTTGGAAGTATGGTTTCCTGGTTTGAATGAAATTTTTTTAAGTCATGAAAGTAGTTATTAGTTGTGAAAATTATATACTTCATACAAACTTATTAATGCCATTGTGTTTATAAATCTATATTCTGCTTCATTTTCTCTTAAGTGAGTAAAACATGCTATCCCTCCAGTTTACCAGAATCAGGGCATTACTCCTTCCTTTTTTAGCCAATCATTATGAAGTTTTATCTTTTATTCAAATTCAGTGTTTCCTGTGCTTCCTGTAAGACCCTTTATCGTTTCTTTTTTGCTACTGCAGTATCTTGCTCCTGGCAGGCATCTTCTTCCCCTTTAGGTCATCATTGACATTCTCACTTCACCTGAAACAAAAATGACCATAAAGTTCCTTTCTTTGGCTGTGAATTCAGACCCCCAACTGAAGATCCATCTCATCTTTCCAGAACCATATACAGTTTCCCATGAGATACATGTTCTCCAGGCAACTAAGTCTGCTTCTCCCAAATGTTCCTCTAACTCTCTTCTTATCTGAAATACTTTACTTCTCTCAAAACCCCCCCAATCTCTGTATGCCTTTCTTGGTATTCTTATAACATCTTCAAGAAAGCTGAAAATAAGTATTTATTAAGTTCCTACTGTAGAGCAATTGCTGTATCACTCACCTCTTCAGAAATATCTAATTTTTACTTTATTTTACTTATTTTATTTTATTTTTTGAGTCGGGGTCTCACTATGTAACTCTGGCTGGTTTGGAACTCAATATGTAGATCAGGCTGGTCTCAAACTCACAGACATCCACCTGCCTCTTCCTTCAAGTGCTGAGATTAAAGGCATATGCCACCACTCACAGCCCAATGTGTAACTCTTTTTCATTTTTATTTTTTTATTTTATTTTATTTTTTTTTTTTTTTTTTTTTTTTTTTGGTTTTTCGAGACAGGGTTTCTCTGTGTAGCTTTGTGCCTTTCCTGGGACTCACTTGGTAGTCCAGGCTGGCCTCGAACTCACAGAGATCCGCCTGGCTCTGCCTCCCGAGTGCTGGAATTAAAGGCATGCGCCACCACCGCCCGGCTTCATTTTTATTTTATATGCATGACTGTTTTGCCTGTGTATATGTCCTTGCACCACTTGTGTGCTTGGTACCTGCATATGCCAGAAGAGAGTATCAGATCCTTAGAATTGGAGTTGCAGGAGGTTGTGAGCCACCTTGTAGGTGCTGAGAATTGAATGTCCTCTAGAAAAGCAGCTAGTGCTCTTAACTGCTGAGCCATTTCTGCAGTTTCCCAGTATCTAATTCTTAAAATTATTTTGACATGGGAAATTATTCCCTCCACCACTTTACCTTGTTTAAGAGAGAACTAAAGACTTAGTAACTATATAAAGTCTCAAACCAATAACCAATAGGATAGAAAGAGGATTCATGTAGCACAAATCCTGATGCCCCTGTCATTAGGTAACATTACATCCTTCTGGCGTCTTTGATGGAGTTGAAGACTAATTAGTTATAATTATAGTTTTCCTTAGTTATAATAGAAAGTAAATTAGATACAAAACTCTAAGTCCGACATTAGAAATTTCTCTAACTTGTGTGTTTGGCATCTTTGTTAAATATTAAATGGCTTAAGTTACATGTACTCTTGTTTGGGTCTTTGATATTTTTCTCCCTCATTGGTCTACATGTCTGTTTTTGTACCAATACCAAATTGTTTTTACTAACATGGCTCTCTCCTATATCTTAAGATCTGGAATGATAATCCCTCCAACATTGTTCTCTTTGTTAAGGATTGATTTTGGCTATGTGGCGTCTTTTGTGATTCCATATGAATTTTAGGATAGAATGAGATCGGGGTTTTATTGGGATTGCAAATGATCATTTTCACAATATTAATTCTATGAATCCATGAGTATGGGCTGTCTTCCCATTTTCTACTGTGTTTTTCAGAGTTTTAAAGTTTTTATTTTAGAGGACCTTCATTTCCTTGGTTAGGTTTAATACTGGTATTTTATTTTCAATGAAGCTATTGTGAATGGGATTTTGTCCATTGTCTCTGTGTCTCTTGAGATGATCTTCTGATTTTTGTTCTTAAGTCCATTTATGTGACTTATTACATTTGTTGGACTGTGTGTGTTGACCTATCTTTGCATTTCAAGGAAAAGGCCAACTTGGTCATGGTGGATAATAGTCTCTCTCTCTCTCTCTCTCTCTCTCTCTCTCTCTCTCTCTCTCTCATTTAGGAAAGACTGGCTGTAGGTTATTTTTTAAAGTCTGGGAGAATTCTGCTGTGAATCCATCTGACCCTTCTAGTTTCCAAACTAGAAGGCTTTTTGTTATTATTTCAATCTTCTCATTTGTTATGGGTCTGTTTAGGCTGTTAACTTCTTGGTTTAATTTTGGTGGTTTAACTGAATCTAGAAATTCATGCATGTCTAGGTTTTCCAGTTTAATGGAATAAAGTTTTTTTTAAATATTCACTTATAATATTCTAAATTTGTCTCATGTCTGTTGTTTTTCTTTTCATTTCTGATTCTGTTAATTTGGGTCCTCATTTCTTTCTTTTGGTTAGTTGGGCCAAGGGTCTGTCGGTCTTGTTTATCTCCCAAATACCAGCTGTTAGATTTGTTGATTCTTTTTACTTACCGTTTTCTTTGTTTCTAGTTCATTGATTTTTTTTTTTTTTTGCTCTGGTTTTTGTTATTTCTTTCCATTGACTGGCTTTGGACTTGGTTCTTGTTTTTCAACTTTTTGAGTTGCATCAGTTTTTTTTTTTCCTGAGAAAGGTCTCTCTATATGTAGTGTAGACCCGGCTGGTCTTGAACTCACAGAGATCTGACTGGCTCTGCCTCCCAAGTACTGGGATTAAAGGTGTGCACTACTATGCCTGGTCCTCTTTCTGAATTTCTAATGTCGGCACTTAGAGCTATAAATTTTCCTTGTAGGGCTGCATTCAGTGTGTTCCAGAGGTTTTGTATTGCGTTTTCATATTCAGTTGGTTCCAGGAAATTTTTTCTTTCTTGATTTGTTCCCATTCACCATTCAGTAATGAGTTATTTAATTTCCAAGAGGTTATGTAATGCCTAGAGATTTGTTTTCTGTCCATTTTAAGTCTTACTGTGTCGTGATCAGACAGGATAGGAGGAGTTACTTCAATCTTTTTGTATTTGTAAAGGTTTATTATGTGTTCCAGTATATATTTTAGAGAAGCTTCTATGTGTTGCTGAGTAGAAAGTGTATTCTTTGGTGTTTGGGTGGAATATCCTGTGGATATGTATTAAGTCCATTTGATGTAGGATGTCAGTTAATTCTGAAGTTTTCTGTTTTTTTCTAGATGACCTGTCTGTTGGAGCAGTGGGGTATTGAAATCACAATTAATGGATTGATATGAATCTGTACATTTTTTAATGACATTGGAAGCATTGGAGTTTGGTGCATTCTATGTCTTCCTGGTTAACTGTCCCTTGATTAGAATGAGGTGTCCCTCTTTATCTCTTCTTACATGGTTTAATTTAAAGTCCATCCTGTCAGATTCTTCCTTGCTTCCCGGTCCCACTGAATTGGAGTGCTTTTGTGCATCCTTTTTCTTGATGGTGGTTCCTGTCTTTGAAGAAAAGCTGTGTTTCTTGCAGACAACAGATAGATGCTTTTTGTTTCTTGATCCATCCAGTCTGTGTCTTCTGGTTGTAGAATCAGGGCCATTGATACTGAAAGTTCTTATTGACATGTGTGTGTCAATTGTGGTCATCACATTGTTGATTTTTGGTCTTGTTTGTGTTCTCAGTGGAACTTTGTGTTTTAAAAATTATGGCTTCATACTTCTTTCCCCAGTCTCTCTGCTCTGCACATTTCTCTCTTCAACCCAAAGTCTTGCTTCCTGTATATTCTTTAGGTTTCTTTTGCTGGATATAAATTTTTTAGGCTGTTTATATCTTGGAAAGTTTTTCTTTGTCCTTCAATTATGGAAGGTAGTTTTGCTGGGCAGGCATATTAGTCTAAGCTAGCTGTCATAGTCTTTGGGGACTTAGAATACATTTCTCCAGGCTCTCCTCACTTTCCAAGTTGGCATTGAGAAATCAGCTGTTATTCTGATGGATTTTTTCTTTATGTATGACTTTTGCTTTTTCTCTTGCACCTTTCAATATAGTCTCTTTTCAGTGTTTTAACTATGGTATGCTGTGGGGATTTTATTTTTTGATCTTGTCCTTTTGTTCTGTGTGCTTCTTGTCCTTTTCTGTGTGTCTTTCCTTAGTTTGGGAATGTTTTCTTCTATGATCTTGTTGAAGTTCTTATCTGTCATTGTCCTTCGATTCTTCTTCCTCATCTATGTCTATAATTCAAAGGTGGTTTTTTTTCATGGTGTCCCACATTTCCTGTATGTTCCTTTCCTGTGTATACTTTTTTTTTTTTTGTAACTTTTCATACTTCTTGCTTCTCTGGTCTAGATCTTCTATTTTATCTTCAAGTCCTCTAATTCTGTCTTCTTACTAATTCATTCTGCTTGGAAGGCTTCCCTTTGCGATGTCTAGTTGAGTTGTTGGGTTTTCAAGCCCTTCTCATTTCAGCCTCAGTTCTCTTCAGTGTTTCTACCTCCTTGTCGAATTCCCCTGTCAAGTCCTGCACTGTCGTCATGTCCTTCAGCCTCCCTCGGGCTTGGGGTTTCCTGGGCATCACTCAGCTGTTCTCCTCAAGCTCTTTCTCCTTCATTTCACTGCGTGTTTCCTTGTGTCTTCTTTAAACTCCTTGAATTGTTTGATGAACTTTATGACTGTTCTGTTAAATCCTGTGTTGGGTTTCATCTAGGTCATTCTCATTGGCAAACCTTTCCACCAAACTGGTAGGTTCTGGAGAGAAGATGCTGGTTCGATCACTCATATTGTTAGTATTTTTATGATGGAATCAGGCTAGATCCTGGAAAGGGATGTGGGAGATCTGGCTGTGATAGGCTTGATGATGCTTTTGTTTGGAGGAATGTGGACTTTGGGACTTTGGATTAGAAAAGAAGTTGAACACTTTAAGTGGGTCTTAATGGCCATACTCGTAGGAACGTGGAAGACAGTGGTGCTGAGGGGGATTTAAACTGTGAGGGCCTGGCTCAAGAGGTTTCAAGGAAAAGAATTTTTGTATGTGGCCTAGAGACTGTTCTTGTGATATTTTGGTGAATAATATAGCTGCTTTTTGTCCTTGTCCAAAAAGTCTGCTGAGGCTAAAGTGAAGAGTTTTGGATTAATTGCATTGGCAAAGGAAATCTCAAAACAGCCTAGTATAGCCTATTTCGTGTGGTTACTACTGTTGACTTTTATGAAGATTTATAATGAAAAGGAGCAAGCTGGGCAAGGAAAAATACATGCTAGGCAAGCACTCTACCAACTGCATATTATCCCCAGCTACAGATTGGCATGCGCCCTAGCATTCTTGGATTTTGAAGTATTTCAGATATGGGCTGCTCAGTCAGCATAGATAGGGAGATCTGGAAAGGCACTGGAGTGTGGTTCTTGAGGTAGTGGGATTATGATTTTCATAAATCTTTTACCTCCATCTTTGAACTTCTTCAAATGTACCTAAATATCTGTTTTTATACACATTGATTGACCTTGTGAATTGAGTTACTATGAAATTATTTACCATTGACAGAACATATGCACTGTAATTTTCATTCTGTACATGTACATTATAATCCTTATAAATGATTAATAGTTAAATGTACTTAAAAAGCTTCCATGGTACAAATTAAAGTAACAGTATATGTGTTAGATACTATGTTTAGATGTTATATTGATGTTAAATTTACAGCAATCAATTTTATATCACTAAGAATGTAGTAATTAAATTTTAGGGAATACAATGAATATTTTGTATTTTAAACTCATTTACTTACTCTTTCATCTTTTGCCTACAGATCCTGATAGCTACTGTCACTCATCTTTTGCCAAGTACAGAAGCTTCATCATATGAAATGGACAAAAGGGTAATTTTATTTTTTTTACATTTAATATGTATTTATCTTGAATATTTAAATTTAAAAGTTTTAAAGGTACAAATAAATAAACATTCAATCAACTATGGTGAACTCTAACTTTCCATTACTTAAGTATAAAAAATTTTCATTTTATTGACTGGAGAGATGGCTTATAAATAGCTTGCCGCTATTGTAGAGGACCAAAGTTCGATTCCTAGCACCACATGGAGACTCACTGATGTCTGTAACTCCAGTATCAGGGCATCCAAGTCCTTCTTCTAGCCTCATGGCACCAGGCACACAAACGTTGAACAGACATCCATGTAGACAAAATATTCATTCACATTAAATAAATAAACAAACAAAATTTAAATTTCATTCTAGTTTTAATTTTGTAAACATTTGACTGTCTTGAAATCTCAGAGTAGTAAGGAAACTTAGCAAGCATTTTGTTTACTTATAATGATTTTACTATAGCCTGCCAGATAATGAAGTTGGTAGAGATTCTGAGAAATTTACCACCTCTGAAGACAGTCACTTGGTTTTTTGACAGCTATTATCAGTGGAAGGACATTTATAATAAATAGAGTACAAGAATATACTAGAAGTATACCTCTGTTGTTGTTGTTGTTGTTTTCTGAGACAGGGTTTCTCTGTGTAGTCCTGGCTGTCCCAGAACTGGCTCTGTAGACCAGGCTGGCCTCGAACTCAGAAATCTGCCTGCCTCTGCCTCTCGAGTGCTGGGATGAAAGGTGTACACCACAATTCCAGGCCTAGAAGCATACTTCTTAAGAAAAGGCATTTCCTCTGCCCTCAGAAAAGTTCTACCATGTGACATTTACCTTAGGCTATCTTTTCCAGGAGGTCTTTAGTGTTCTGTATCCCTCCTCTATATTACCCTCCCATCCCCTATCCCATTTAACCCTTCCTATTCCAGTATTCCTCTTTTCTACCTCTTACTGCTCTGTTCTACCTCCCATCCCTTTTAAAGATGACGAATATTTTACTAAAAACTATAAATATAAAGGAGGAGTACATATAAATATAAAGGATATATCAATATAAAGGATATACATACATACACACACATATACATACATACATTATAAGGAGTGTTTGGGACCATATAAATGTTTTAGACTTTAGACTTTAAAAAGATTTGCAATGTTTTTTCTCTACTGTTTTGCATCCTTATACCTTTCCATTCATCTTTATACCTTAGCATTCTCTTCCATCAAGATTTTGTTTGAAGCTTATGTATTACACCTAGACAACAAGCTTATGTATTACACTTAGACAAGCTTGTGTGTTACACCTAGACAACAAGCTTGTGTATTGCACCTAGACAAGCTTGTGTATTACACTTAGACAGGCTTGTGTATTACACCTAGACAAGCTTGTGTATTACACTTAGACAAGTTTGTGTATTAGACTTAGACAACCCTCTCATTTTATCTGGGAACTATTAATATTGTTAAGTAAAACACAATATAGACAGTCATTTCTTTCTTTTTTTTTTATGAACCTAGTTTGTCTTTACTATAAGATGGCTTTAAAGCCTACGATGGAGGCAGGCTGGTTCGTCACTACCTCATCAATAGTTCTCTAAGCATAATCCAGGAGTCACAGAATGTGCATATGACAGGCATTTCTTATGGATGACAATCAAATCACTTACAATGGAGTTCATACACCTTCCTTAGCCATAGGCTTATAAGAACATGAGTAAACTCTGTATAAGCAAGGAATTTTAGATTTCTGAAAGAATTTATTGTTATTGGTGAATATAACATTGTAATTTTAAACAATCTAGTAGACAGGGGTTAAAAAAATCTAGTGATATAATTCACCTGTAGAGCACTTGCCTAGCTTGCATGAAGCCCTGTGTTTGATCCTGAGTACTGCCAGAAAAACAAACAAAAGAAAAAGGAGTAAAGATCGTTTATATGCTGATTTAAAAGGGAAAAAAAAAAACCCTGTCACTGTGCACTTCATAGGGATTATTGCAACTTAAACAAACAGCAAAACTTTTTTATCCCCAGTCAACAGAAATAAGAACTTAATCACCCACATTCATATGGTTGTTACTACATATGAACCTGAAGAAAGGGACCTATCACTGGCAGATAGATTCCAAAACTTTTCCTCTTTCTGTTGACATCAATTCCGAACTTTGATTTCAGTTCCACATTAGAACATTAATTTCCGGGGGTCATTTGGGTTTGTTATGATGCTGAGGATGGAACTCTGAGCCTCCTCATGGCATGTAAGCACATGGAGGCCATGAGTTCCGATTGGAGGGAAGTTTCCAGAAGAGGAGGAGGAGTCTTTGTTAACTCTTCCCTTTATTCCTCCTTCAGTCCATATGGCTTTATCGCTCTGCCGCAGTGTTGTAAGTGCATTCTCCATACTACAGGGTGTGCCTACAGACTTCACTGTGTTCTTCCTCAAAGCAAGCAGTTCTTTATGACCACAGTACAGCTGTCAACAGTTAGGGATAACACTGGTTTGTTAGTTGTAATCTCTAAATCTTATGGAGATTTCACTAGCTAGCTCAGTAATGTCCTCTATAGCAAAAGAAAAGCCCAAACCTGTGTTCTGTTTGTAAATGTACTGTTACATCTTAACCTTTGTTAACGGACTGGGTTTTCAGCAGTTGTTGGTTTATTAGAACATTCCTTGTTCTGATAGATGGCATGTGGTGACACAGCTCCTCCAACAAGGCTACAACCTTAATCTTCCCAAGCAGTCCCACTGTCTGGGACAGAGTATCCATATGAGCCCTTCAAATCACCATACATGCTTTCTGTTGTAGGAGTAGATGGAAAGTTTTAGTTTTGTGAGGATACATTAGTTAAAACAGGATTAAACCTCAACTTGGAGAGTTTATCTTTGATGATGAATAGACCTAGTCGCTGCCTGATTACCACTTTCATGGCACTATTTATTATTTAGCATTAATTGTGATTTTTAAGTCTAGTACAAAAGATAATTCTGTGTTGGGGTAAAAGTATTGTGTTTATGGTGTCTGTTATTTTAAAAGTTACTGAAAGGTTTTATTTAATAAAATGAGTAACAGCTTTCTAGAAGGCTACTAACTGAGGTATTACAAATTAGAAAAGGGAAATGGAGAGAGCTAAGGAGATGGCTCAGAATGCAGAGTGCTTGACAACGCAAGCATAAAGACCCCAGTTCAGATCCCCATCACCACATAGAGAGCCAGGCATGAGGGCACACGCCAGCAACCAGTGCTGGGGAAGCAGAAACAGGAGGATGCCCGGGGCTAGCTATCCAGCTAGTCTAGCTGAATCAATGAGCATAGGTGCAGGGAGAGGGTCATTCTGTCTCAGATAATAGGATGGAGAGCAATTGAGAAGGACATGAAACATAGACCTCTGGCCTCCATGTGCACATCACACACACACACACACACACACACACACACACACACACACACACACACACGAAAGTTGGGGATATGGGATAGCTCAGTGTGTAAAGGTGCTTGTTACCAAGGCTAATGACCTAAGCTTAGTTTCTGGAATCTGCATGGTAGAAGGAGAAAACTGACTCCCACAAGTTGTCCTCCCCAATAAGCTTCATGGCACACACACTCCCACATCCACACACAGAAATCATAACTTAATATATTTAATTGTGGTATATATTTGTATAGTTACTTGAATGCAGTTATGTTTTCCTTTTTCTTTTGTCTAATGCTCAGGATACCAAGCTCAGGATGCTCCGTCCCCTGGCTATACTCTTATCCTCAATGTATATTGCTGTTATAGTTAACTAATGGTTTGTGTATCAATATCAGTGTTCATAGTTGAATTTAGGATTTAAGGTTCCTGTAATAAATTCTAGAAACCCAAGAATAACAAAGTGATTTATTGATTATTAAGAATCCCTTACCGGAGATTCAATTGGTAACATGCTCACGTAGCATTGACAAAGCCCTGGCTTCAATACCCAGCACTGCATAAACCTGGTATGGTGGCACAGGTTTGTAGTCTCAGCTCTTGGGAAGTGAAAACAGGAAGACAGGAGTTCAAGGTCATCCATGGCTAATGAATTAGTTATTTTTCTTCTGTCTGTAATAAAATACTTGATAAGTGAAACTTAAGGGAAGAATGTGAGACACCTCACACACCGCATGTGTAGTCAGGGAGCAGAGAGCAATGAAGGCTAGCCCCCTGCTTGCTTTCATTTTTTTATTCAGTCTTGCACCACGGTGCATGTGAAGGTGCTACCCATGTAGGTGGCACCCGTCCATCTCATCTCCCCAACTTTCCTGTGTGTGTGTGTACATGCACACAGGTGTGCATGTGTATATGGAAGCCAGAAGTCTGTTTTTGGTGTCTTCCTCAATTGTTATCCATCTTATTATTTTGAGACAGAATCTCTCAGTCCAGTTTAGAAACTCACAGACATACAGCAATTTGTCTCCTAGGTGATTCTAGGTCCTATCAAATTGGTAATCAATATTAAACCATCATAGCTGCTACATCTTAGGCTACATGAGACCCTTTCTCAAAAAAAAAGGGGGGGGGTGGGAGTGGGGAAAGCCCTTCTCTTACAAGTTTATATTGATAATCGCTTTATTGTTGTTACAGTTGGTTGTATCATTACTTCTTTGCCTTCTGGACTGGATCATGGCCTTACCTTTAAAGACACTACTCCAGCCAGTCCATGCTACAGGAGCAGAAAATGATAAGACAGAAAAATCTGTCCTCAACTGCATTTATAAGGTAAATCTTCTTGCTTGCTTTATTATTTATTTGATAACCAAGTGTTTTTAAAACTTCAGAAATGACATTCAGTATCTGATAATATTTCTGAGTATAATGTTTTCATTATTTAAAACTAGATATATTCTAAAATACACAGACTTTGCTTATAGAACCTAGAAGTAGGTGGTGGCACAAGCCTTTAAGCCCAGCAATGAGGAGGCAGAGCCAGATGGATCTCTGTGAGTTCGAGGCCAGCCTGGTCTACAGAGCAAGATCCAGGACAGGCACCAAAACTACAGAGAAATCCTGTCTTGAAAAACAAAAAAAAAAAAAAAAACTTGCATAGAACCTAGAAGTAATAATTTATGAGTACTTCTTACACGACAGACTTGTTCCATCACAGAAGTTTGAAAGGGATTAGATTCTGTTGAATATGAGAACCACTGGTTAGATTTTACACATCTTTTTAAGAGTTATTAAATATCACCTTCACTGAAGAGCTAAGGTGTAAACTATTCACGTTTTGCCAAGCTTTCATGTCACTGGTGACTGTTTTGTTTCCATATTTTCTTCTCCCTTAGGTGTTACATGGGTGTGTATATGGAGCACAATGTTTCAGCAATCCAAAGTATCTTCCAATAAGCCTTTCTGATTTGGCATCTGTAGATTATGATCCTTTTATGCATTTGGAAAGTCTGAAAGAACCTGAACCTCTACACTCTCCTGATTCAGAACGGTCTTCTAAACTCCAGCCCGTAACAGAAGGTAACATGAGTTTTCCTCAAGACAATGTTATTCCTTGGGTTCTGACAGGATATGCTTTGAGACCATGCATGAAAATAGGTTTCTGGTTATAGTTACCTAACCATGTATTTACCTATCATAAGTTAGTTTTTAGTTTAAGAAATATGGTATGTGATAATATTCCCTTTATAGTCTGGCTGACTTATACTTAGGAATGTTTTATTGTAGATTTCATAGTATTTTTGAAGAGTAAGAGAATTTTGAAGTCTGACAGGTGCTCAGTTGCTGAGAGGCATTTTAGTTCGTTTATAAAATGCAGATAATAATATTAGTTCCAGCATGAATTGTTTTGAGTACTGAGATTATATATACAAATCCCTCTGCACAGTCCTTGGTACATAATGAGTTCAGCATTCAAAATTTTTTTTTGATTTGTATATGAATATATGCACAGAGGACAGTTGATGGGAGTCAGCTCTCCTTCCCTCAGGTGAAGGAAGTTTTTAAGGATGAAGCGAGTTGAATTTCCTTTAAATGAGTGGGAACTCAGTAGAGAATTGGTCAGTTTCCATGGGTTTGTAGACTTTGTTATTTCTGGTGTTGAAATCCAGCTTTAATCTGTGGTGGTCTGATAGGGTATAGGGAGTTATCTCAGTTGTTTTCTATCTGTTGAGACTTGCTTTGTGGCTAGTATATGGTCAATTTTGGAGAAGGTTCCATGAAGTGCTGAGAAGAAGGTATATTCTTTTGTGTTTGGGTGAAATGTTCTGTAGATATCTGTTAGATCTATTTGAGTCATTATGTCTATGAGTTCTGTTATTTCTCTATTTAGTTTCTGTCTGACTGACCTGTCCATTGCTGAGAGTTGGGTATTGAAGTCTCCCACTACCATTGTGTGTGATTTAAACTTTAGTAATGTTTCTTTTACAAATGTGGGTGCCCTTATATCTGGGGCATAAATGTTCAGAATTGAGACATCATCTTGGTAGATTTTTCCCTTGATGAATATGAAATGCCCTTCTCCATTTCTTTTGATTAAATTTGGTTTAAAGTCTATTTTGTTAGATATTAGGATAGCTACACCAGCTTGCTTTCTTAGGTACATTTGATTGGAAAATCTTTTCCCAACACTTTACCCTGAGGTAGTTAGTATCTATCTTTGATGTTGAGGTGCATTTCTTGTATGCAGCAGAATGATGGATCCAGTTTTCATATCCATTCTGTTAGCCTGTGTCTTTATTGGCAAATTGAGTCCATTGATATTGAAGGATATTGAAGTGAGTTGAATTTACTTAAAATAAGTGAGTAGGGTATTATTTAAAGAATAAAGTCCATAAAGGGATATATGGGAACTCATTAGTGCTAGGATTTGCCCTTCATTTGGGACTAGAAAGAAAAGGAAAAGGAAAGTGAATTAAAGGAATTGGTAAGAGTCATGAAGAGCCCAAGGAAAAATAAACTGTCATAAACTTTTGGTTGTACCGATCAGTTACTAAGGTGAGTGTAACAAATTCAAAGGAACTATGAATGTCTGAATATTGATTTGCAGTTTACATCTGGAGCCTAAGTTTGGTAAAGAACTGCTTCCAGGCATAACTAACAGCTAGGGAGAAAATAGAGTGTTCTTAAGAGGTAGAAGGTAGATGTGGATGGATATAAGAAAGCAAAGAAGTGGTTCTCAGTTTAGCCCACAGTAGAATATGGATACTCTAATTCCATCAATAGATGTTGATGGTCTGTCTGCTAAAATTGCCAGGGTTTCCAAGATGCTGCAAGGAAATAATCTGCAGCCGTGGTTGAGAACTGCTGAGAGTTGGTGGACTATGCCCTCAGTTCACAGTGTGTTAGGTGGTAGAATTTCTTCAAATAAGTTTTATAAAGAAGCCCAATTTGTAAAACTTTTAAAAATAAAGCTTCAATAGACTGGAACCTAAAGATCCAGTCACCTTTCCAGGGGCTTCTCCTAGGGCTCCTCAAAACACAGTTGGATAGGGCTGGAGAGATGACTTAGTGGTTAAGAGCACTGGCTGCTCTTCCAGAGGTCCTGGGTTCACAACCATCTGTAATGGGATCAGATTCCTTATTCTGGTATATACATAAAATAATGGATAAACAAGTCTTTTTTAAAAACACCCAATTGGACTAGGAGGTTGTGGTTAAAGAGTAGGCTATGAAGGAAGAGTTTGGTTTTTCCAATATAGAAAAAATAGTTACAGACGATTAAAAGAGTTAAACTTGACCCTATAGAATTGAAGTTATGAAGTTAAAAGTCAAGGAAATTGATCAACTCCAGCTTTGAGTTGAATATAATTGAATGCAAGTTGCTAATAATTTGTCTAGAGCACAAGTACGTAAAATAATAGGAACATAAAAATTTAATTATTATTTAGCTCTGAAAAACATTCTGGGTTGTGTAATAGAACAAAAAATTTAGACAATAATTGATAGTAATGAAAAACTTTAGATATCACAAAGTATAGTGTTTATTTTACTTGATGTTATATAAAAAGATGCTTGTTCTTTACATTTGATGGTAACACTCTAAGACAGTATATTTTTAAATAGAATAATAAATAAAATTTGCTTATTTATCAAAAGGTTTTTATTACTTTTAAAAATATGTAGTGTGTGTGTGCACACAACATGTGTTTGGGTCAGAGGAAATCTTGTGAGAGTCAGTTCTGTGCTCTCATTGTGTGGGTGCTCGGGATGGAACTTAGTCATCAAGCTTGGTAGCAATTGTCTTTGCTGCTGAGCCATCTCACCACCCCTGCCAACAGTTGACTGTGTTTTGTGTAAAACTTACTGTAAAGTACGGTAAGTAGAGGAAAAGCTCTTTCCAAGGGGAGCTTACTGCTGACACCAGACACTCCGTACTTCTGTTCTCTGTGCTAGTTGTCCCCTTGTGTGTCCTCAAAGACCGTGAGTCCACATGAATTCAGCATCGTGTAGGAAGAGCACAAGGGAGCAACAGGTGATACTACTTTACTGGGGCTCTGGACTCTGAGCTACATTCTGTGGGGTTTGCTGGGTTTTATTGGGGGGCATGTTCTGTAGGGGGTTTTTTTTTGAGGCTTTTTCCTTTTTTTTTTTTTAAGGCAAAAATGACTGATCATTGTGTCCTTGTCTAAGACATGCTTCATTGTCTTTAAGTACTTTTTTGGCCAATGAATTCTAAACATAGAGTGCTCATAATCAGCTCAGTATTGGATTGAAAAGTGATTTGAAAACTATTGGCAGGAGTGACTATAATTATTAAATTTACTGCAGAACAAGGGAAGGTAGTGAAATTGGCTTTTTGTCAAATGGCAGTAGTTTTATTAGAAAAAAAATCACTTGCAGGGCCAGAGTGAAAGGAAGCTCCAAAGATCCATTCTTTCCTGATTATAGTCTCACCTATACATATTATGCAAAGCTAATATTTAAAGCGTTTGCCAGAATTAACTTCCCCTGCATGTCTTTTACAGCACAGTGAATTGCAGCAGCTTTTTATGGCTTGCTGCTTTTGTATGCCATAATAATCTGTAATTATGGGTTTGCTGCAAATGATGTAGGGCTTGTTTAATGTGACGATCTGAACAGATAACCCTGACTAGCTGCGTTTATTTAATGAATGCTAGTTACACAGTGCCTTAGAAGCATTGGTATCTCCATTTTGCATTTTCTCACCAAACTGGTTATTTTATAATTTCATTTTAATTTTTAAATTAGAGAATTTTATGTCTTTCTAACTTAGGTAAGTATGAGAGAGATATTTTCTTTAGTTTACTGCTCAAAAATCTAAATAAATCTAACCACCTAATTAACAAATTAAAAGATTTTGATCTTTTCATATATGTGCATATATCCTGAATTTAGAGAAGCAATGATTTTGCTCATATCTAAATTTGAAATTCGTCCTTTAAGTATTTTCAGTGTTAACAATTATAGTAGATTGTAGCAGTTTTTTGTGACTTGCTGTTTTTTGTATGGTGCTTAAAGCAGGTGACGAGTATTTAAGTGAATGACTTTTTGGTTTTTGTGGTTTTGAGCTGGGTCTTACTATATATTCAGGCAAGCCTTGTGCTCCCCCTGATTATCCTGCCTCAGCCTACCCAAGTGCAGGATTATATATGTGCACCTCCTTGTCCAGCTCCACAGCTCTTTTGAACTAAATTCCCACTGTCTCCTCCTTTAGGCAGAGGATGTATAGGATAGACTAATGCCTGGGCTTGGGGGCTTATGTTCTACAGAATGAGCTGAGCCATTCTTGGGGTGCATTTATAAGCAAGTTTAAAAGAGAAATGTCTAAAAGCTGTATCCCTTATAATGCTGTCACAATTGAATAGTTTATATTGTATTTATTATTCTGAGCCTTGTACATAAGAGCTTTTAATTCATCTTTACAAGTAAGCCTAGGCTGTTCTTACAGGATAATGTGATTATTATCTGATAATGGTAGAATAACAGGGAAATATAGTCATTCTGTAACTGTGTAAATCTGAGTAGAGGCAAGAACACCAACTCCTCCCCACCCCTCCTGTTTCCTCCCCCTACCTCCTTTCTATGCGCCCCCCCCATCCACTCCTCAGAAAGGGTAAGGCCTCCCATGAGAGTCAACAAAGCATGACATATCAAGTTGAGTCAGAACCAAGCTCCTCCCCCTGCATCAAGGCTGAGCAAGGCATCCCACCATAGGGAATAGGTTTCAAAAAGCCAGCTCATGCATCAGGGACAGATTACTGGTCCCACTGCTAGGGACCCCACAAACAGACCAAGCTACACAACTGTTACCCACATGCAGAGGGCCTAGGTCGGTCCCATGCAGGCCCCCTAGCTGTCAATCCAGAGTCCTTGAGCTCCCACAAGCTTGGGTCAGCTGTCTCTGTGGGTTTCCCCATCATGATCTTGACCCCCCTTGCTTTTATAATTCCTCCTCCCTCTCTTCAACTGGACTCCTGGAGCTCAGCCCAGTGCTTGGCTGTGAATCTCTGCATCTGTTTCCATCAGTTACTGGATGAAAGTTCTATGATGACATTTAGGGTAGTCACCAATCTGACTGCAGGGGAAGACCAGTTCAGGCACCCTCTCCACTATTGCTAGGAGTCTTAGCTGGGGTCATCCTTGTTTCTCTGGCACCAGGCTTCTTTCTAACCCCATAATGACCCTCTCTATCAAAGTATCTTTTATTACTGTCCCTCTCCATCCCTCCCCCAACTCAACCATCCTGGTCCCTCATGTTCCCATCCCCCACCCCCTCCCCTCTACACCCCCACCCCCAGTTTACCCAGGAGATCTCATCTATTTCCCCTTCCCAGGGGGTTTGGAGCTCAGCAGTTAAGAGCACTTGATTGCTCTTCAGAGGACTGGGTTCAACTCCCAGCACCCATGTGGCAGCTCACAACTGTCTGTAACTCAAGTTTCAGGGGACCTGAAACTTTCTATGGCAAAACACTAGTACACATTAAAAGAAAAAAAAAAAGTGCTTAAAAAATTATAATGCCTAAACAAGTAGATTCATCATCAACCTTTTTTTTTATTTGTTTGTTTTTTGTAAAGCACTGGAGATCAATCTTAGGGTCTTGCTATTGCTGGGCAAATATTCTACAACTGAACTATATCCTCAGCCCATATTTTTTAAGTTTTTAATTATGTGTATATATGTCTCTTAGTGGGTATATACACATATGTAGAGTGCTCAAGGAAACAAGAGGCAAATTGTGTCACTTTGGGATGGAGTTACAGGCAGTTGTGAGCCTCCTGATTTGGGTGTCGGGAGCCAAACCTGGGTCCTCTGGCAGAGCAAGTGCTCTTAACCAGTGACATCTCTCCAGCCCCCACAGCTCATGTTTGGAGCTTGGCCTATAAAGTTTCCTTGTGATACAAGTGTACACTGTTCACTGTGTCAATTCATTCTCATTCTTGAAGTTTAATTCAGAGAACACTTTCCTCTGACATACTTGTTATCATCAGTAAAAGCCAGAATGAAATGACATTTAAAGATGCTGCAGACTATGTCTCTAAATCTGGAATGTCTCCATGAGATAAACCTATCAGTTGGATAGATTTCATTGGTTTTTAGTCTGTGTGTTTAGTGTATTTCAGGGAATTGATTTTTGACAATTTTGATCTTCAAAGGTGATCTACATTTAAAAGCTTTTGTTTAAATTGTGAATCCATTAGCTACAGTTTCCAAAGGGCTTCCTTATAAAATAAATAAAACTACTTCATTAGAAAAGTTTTCTATACTCTGCCATTATTCCTATAATAAGAAAGCTAAATTGTATACATTAATGTTTATTCAGATATTGGATTGTGATGTTAGCAATGGGATAATGTCCTCATTTTCCAATATGTTTTGTGACTCCTAGGAAGCAATATTATTCCTACTCATTTGTGGTTTTTTTCCTTTTTTTTTTTTCAGTGAAAACTCAGATGCAACAAGGATTGATCTCTATAGCAGCCCGTACTGTCATTACCCATCTGGTGAATCACTTGGGCCATTATCCAATGAGTGGTGGTCCTGCTATGCTGACAAGTCAGGTCTGTGAAAATCATGACAATCATTACAGTGAGAGTTCTGAACTCTCTCCCGAGCTCTTTGAAAGTCCCAACATTCAGTTCTTCGTGCTGAATAACACAACCTTGGTGTCTTGTATCCAGATTAGAGCAGAAGAGAGTTTGCCTGGCGGAGGGTTAGCTGCTGGCCTTGTGTCAGCCAGTTCAAATGTTAGAATCATAGTGCGGGATCTCTCTGGAAAGTACTCATGGGATTCTGCCATCCTGTATGGACCGCCCATTGTGAGTAGTGTGTCTGAACCTACATCTCTCATACTTTCAATGTCTCACCAAGAGAAACCGGAAGAGCCTCCTACATCTAATGAATGCGTAGAAGACATAACAGTGAAGGATGGACTTTCTCTTCAGCTTAGGAGGTTTAGAGAAACTGTACCAACCTGGTCTACAATAAGGGAGGAAGAAGATGCTCTTGATGAGCTCCTGCAGTATTTAGGCACTACGAGTCCTGAATGTTTACAGAGAACTGGAATCTCCCTCAATGTTCCTGCTCCCCAACCCATATGCATTTCTGAAAAACAGGAGAATGACGTCATTAATGCTATCCTTAAGCAATACACAGAAGAAAAAGAGTTTGTGGAGAAGCACTTTAATGACTTAAACATGAAAGCCTCCGAACAAGATGAACCAACACCTCAGAAGCCTCAGTCAGCATTTTATTACTGCAGGTTGCTTCTTAGTATATTGGGAATGAATTCCTGGGACAAACGGTAAGAAGAGAGGAGGAGTTTCCCTTTTTTTTTTTTTTTTTTTTTGGTTTTTCGAGACAGGGTTTCTCTGTGTAGCTTTGCTGCCTTTCCTGGAACTCACTTGGTAGTCCAGGCTGGCCTCGAACTCACAGAGATCCGCCTTGCTCTGCCTCCCGAGTGCTGGGATTAAAGGCGTGCGCCACCACCGCCCGGCAGAGTTTTCCTTTTTTTTAAAAAAAAAAAAAAAAAAACCATTAGTCCTAATCTTCTGATCAAGAATTTTAGTCTCAGGCAATGGTGGCGTGTAGCTTGAGTTTTCCTGCCTGGCCCACAGTCAGGACAAATCTCTGTCACCCGCCAGTCCCACAGCTGCTCAGACCCAACCAAGTAAACACAGAGACTTATATTGCTTACAAACTGTATGGCCATGACAGGCTTCTTGCTAACTGTTCTTACAGCTTAAATTAATCCATTTCCATTAATCTATACCTTGCCATGTGGCTTGTGGCTTACCGGCATCTTCACATGCTGTTTGTCATCATGGCGACTGGCAGTGTCTCTGACTCAGCCTTCCACTTCCCAGTTTTTTCTCCTCCTTGTCCCGCCTATACTTCCTGCCTGGCCACTGGCCAATCAATGATTTATTTATTGACCAATCAGCAACACACTTGACATACAGACCATCCTACAGCAGTGGCGCACACCTTTCTTTAATCCCAGCATTTGGGAGGCAGATCTCTGTGAGTTCAAGGCCAGACTGATCTACAGAACAAGTTCCAGGGCAGCTAAGGCTATAGTGAGACTGTGTCTTGAAAAACAAACAAAAATGTAGTCTTTATTCTTATTAAATTCTATCTAGCATGCTGGAGAGATGACTCAGCAGCTAAGAGTGTACTACTCTTTCAGAGGATCCAAGTTCAGTCGTCTCTAGCATCCCAGTGGGTACCTCATAACTGGGACTGGAGCTCCAGTGAGTCTACACCTTGTTCAGGCCTCCTTGGGCATAATTAAGAAAATTTTTAAAAAAATAACTAGGAGCTGAAGAGTTGGTTCAGTGATTAGGAGCACTTGTTCTTTGCAGAGGATCCAAATTCTATTCCCAGCACCTACATAGTGGCTAAGAACTTGTCTGTAAATCCAGTTCTAGAGGATCCAACATCCTCTTCTAACCTCTGCACCAGGCATGCATGTGGTACATGTGTAGTATACATGCAGGCAAAACACTCATACATATAAAATAAAATGAATCTTTTTTAAAACCCTTTAGAAAGAAAAGAAAACTGTATATTCTATCTACCAATTAGGTTTTTTTGACCAATAGGCAAATTGTTTGAGTTTGTTTATTAATTTGGTTGATTGAATTGTTTTTTTTTCAACTGTTGAAGCATATTAAAATTGAGGGGAATAAAAAGTAATTTAATCCAGTACATTTTTGACATTTTCACAGTATCTACTAAAACTATATAACTTAGAAATTATAGTCATATAATTGTGTGCCAACATGCCTGGCTACAGTTAGGTTTTGTTGTTGTTTTTAATAGGAATTGAACACAAGACCTTAGGCATGCTGTGTACAATCTACATTTTGTTTTTAGTTTTTATGCTATCAAAAGCTGTAGGAGAATGGAAATGGCATTTATTTTATCATTAAATCATAGAAATATATCCTTTCTATTCAGCTTATAGTAGGAGGGAGAAGCTTGGAAATGACTGGATGACTAGGTCTGCAGTACTCCAGGCACATGTGAGGCATTACGATGGGCCTGCTCTCCCTCTTGCGTAGTATTCACACTTTCACTTGATTTAAAACCTTCCGTTTGTTAAACAGTATTCTTGCCTCAGCCATTTTACATTACTTTTTCCTTTATTTCCTGAGGTATGAGGGTACACACATGCCATGGCACCTGTATGAAGGTCAAAGGACAACTCCCAAGAGTCACTTCTGTCTTTCCACCATGTGAGCTGCAGGGATTATACTCAGATTCAGGCTTAACATAAGACACTGTTGTCTGCTGAGCCACCTCTGCATCCCCTTTGCCCCTCTGTATAACAAGCATAGTTTGCCTTATGTTGTAGCTGACTACAGGTAATCGTCATTTAGTTATTAGAGAAATACATTCTAGTTTCTTGTTAGGGAATGGTCTATATATTGTTTCCTAAGGAAAGTTAAAGATGGAAAGTTGTATTTTATGACAGTGTATTAATTTTATTTACATATTTAGTGCACATAAATTAAAAATTACGTGTTTATTCATATTTTTTAAAAATACATAATAGGACTGAGGAAATATAATATGTGTATATACATACACACATGTTTATGCAATAATAGGACTGAGGGTGTATGTGTGTTATATATGTGTACACACACACACATATATATAATATTTAATATTATATATAATATATATAATATTAAAGCTTTGCTGGTATGTGTAAGCCTCTGGTTTGATTCTCTTGTACCACATACACAACACATACACACACACAAACAAGGGGAAGAAGCAGACTCTTACAAGTCCTTGTATCCGTTTCTCCGGATGTTACTTTAGGTGCTCACATCTACACGGACAATTTGAACTGGCCTTGACAAGGTGCATTATCAGATGAATGAAGGCCTGGGAGGAATAATGATGTATATCTTTGCATCTTTTTTAGGGTCTGTTCTCCTTTGTGTTAGAAGTATGGAAAGGCAAGAAAAGTGTAAAAGTTGCATGAGTAGAAGGGAAGTGTTTCCGGACTGTCATGTCCTTCCCTGCAAAGGTGACGAAATGTTTATAAATCTCTCCATTTAGGAGGAGCTTTCATCTCCTGAAGAAAAATGAAAAGCTGCTTAGAGAACTTCGGAACTTGGATTCAAGGCAGTGGTGAGTTGTGGGGAAACTTGCATATTTACAACAGGAATCGCTCAGCTGTTTCTGTTGACAGTAATACCATGCATTGCAGTGTAAACTCTAATAGTGTACTATTGACTTCCAGCTTTTTGAGTGGGAACTGTGTCATTGTACCTTAGATAAATTAATTTTAAGAAAACTGTAGAACTGCGTTAAGATGTTTGACATATTTGAATTACTTTTATTCTTTGTATGCATTTCACAATCCTCTTTTGAGTTGGAGAAAACTAATTGAATGTGTAAAATATCCTTAGATTTTTGTGCCATATTTAATCATAACTCACTCACTATTCTGGTGCTTAAGATGGCTTGGAAAGCTCATTTGAGACAAGCCGCCTGCTGTGACATCACTAATGTACAAGAATTCCAGGTGAAATGAGCTGATCTGCACCTACATGAACAACTCACATCTTTCAAAGCCCTGTGCTGAGCTGTTTGTTCACTTTCAGTTCCAGAAGAGTTGCCCTTGTATTCATACCTAACTTACTCTGACTTACCTTTCTTCTGCATGTGTATGGTCCTCTTCAAAAGGAACCTTTTCATCTTGCATTTCTTTGTATTCACAAATGTGCTTGACACATTTGGAAAGAAGGAACTTCAGTTAAGGAATTGCCTCCCTGGGAACAAGTCACTGAGCATTGTTCCACCGTGGTCTCTGCTTCAGTAACTGCCTTGTTTTTAAAGCCTTGGCTTCCCTGGATGATGGACCGTAACCTATAAGATGAAATAAACCCTTTCCTCCCCAAGTTGCTTTTGGTCAGTCTTATCACCGCAATAGAAAAACAAACTAGAACAATTTTTAAGCTGCAGTCCTTGTTCCTTTCATGCTGTTTTCTACCAAATGTATGGGAAAATGTCGCCATTGACTCACTTCCTGTATTTCCTAACTACTGGTTTTTGTTGAGGGACTGGCTGTTGGCTTTCTTTAGCATGGTCTTTTTAAAAATGGTTTGCATTGATTTGTTTGCTCTGTGTGTGTGTGTGTCTGTCTGTCTGTCTGTCTGCATATGATGTGTGTTAAGGATTATTTTGTATTTGTGGATGCTGTTTAGCTTTCAGTTTTCAGCTTCAGACTGATGGAGTTTATTGATTTTTGCATAGCCATCTTTCTCGGTATTTTTCTTTGCATTTCCTCAAGTACTTGTTGTGCTTACAGAGTTCTGTGTTGAAGTCATTCATTCTGTATTTCTTTATAAACCTTTATTGGGTTAAGACGGTTATATTTTATACTTAGTTCTTTAGTCTTTGTAGAATATATTTTGAATTATAGCATATAAAGGCATCTACCAAGGCTCATGACCTGAGTTTAATCCCTGTAACCCACATGGTGGAAGAAGAGAACCAACTCCCGGCCAATGTCTTCTGACCACCCCACGTACACACATACACAATATTAATAGTAGTTAACAAAAACTTTAGAAAAGGATAGAGCTGGGGAGATGACTGGTAGTTGAAAGCAGGTACTGCACTTGCAGAGGACTGAGCGCAGTTCCCAGCACCCACGTCAGCTGGCTCATTACTTACTGCCTTGTCACTCCAGGTCTAAGAGACCTGACACCCTCCTTTTGCTTGCACAGGCACTAATATGCACATGCACATATCCACATACAGACACATACATACACATAAATAAGAATAATAAAAATAAATCTATAAAAATAACTACATAAATAATTTTTAAAGAGAATTAGAACTAGGTTGAATATGGGAAATGATCTATTTCTATAATTTGTTAAATTAACCCTAATCTTTTTTTTCTTTTTTCTTCTTCTTTTTTTTTTTTTTTTCTTTTTTCCAGAGCTGAGGACTGAACCCAGGGCCTTGTGCTTGCTAGGCAAGCACTCCCACTGATCTAAATCCCCAACCCCAACCCTAATCTTTTCAATTGATTTACTATTGCCTTTATCAAACTTTGAAGCATTGTGCTTCAAAGTTATGTGCATTTCTATTGATTTATCTGTTGTTTTGTACACATATTACTGTTTAATTTATTATAGCTACATAATACATTTTCCATGCATATTTATGTTAATGTCTTTTTACTTATTCTGAGACCCAAACCTTACTTATGTAATTCCTGAGTATTTTGTTATTTTATTGTTAATTCTATATAGGATATCCATTGTTATATTTTTGACATTTTGGTTGTGAGCCTAGCCTTTAATAGCGAAGCCATCTCTCCAGTCCCTAATATTATATTTTTGGAATTTTTTTCCATTTTTAATATATTTCTTGTATCCAACAGGTTAGTGAACTTTCATACTGCTTTTAAGCATATTTTAGTTTTAGTCACCTCTTTCTCTTAAGATTTGTTTAAAGTATACTGTCATTATCTGAAAACAATCTCTTTTCTGATAGTTAGTTTTGCTTATATTTTTGCGCTAACTGGAACTTTCAGGTTAGGGTAAGTAATGCAGAAAAAGTAGATGGACATCCTTGCCTGTCCTGGTTATAATGAGAGTAACTCTTCTTTCCTGTCTTCTTCAGGAAAGCTATTGCTTGTTGTTTTAAAATAGATCATTTTGATCATGCTGTGAAAGCAGTTTATCCTGTAGGATTTTCTTTTAGTGAATATTAAAATAAAATGGTGGTGGCATATATTACCAAAATTCTTTTTTTTTCATTTTTGAGATTATAACATAAGTGCAACATTTTGAATTCCTCTTTAAAATTCTTTTTAGCCTCCATTCATGTGCTCCTTTAGTTTGAATTTCTTAACTATTGTATTTTAGTATAAAAACTGTATAGACTTAGAGAGTTGGTCAGCAATTTCAAGGGCACTTGTTGCACGATTCACAATATCCACATAGTGGCTTATCCACAAGTCCTCGGGGATCCAAAGTCCTCTTTTGACCTTCATGGACACCAAGAACACACTTTGGTGCACATACATACATGCAGGATGCAGGCAAAACACCCTTACACATACAATAATAATAAATAAATATAAAGAGAAAATCTGTCTAGTCTTTTGACTTACTGTACTTGGTTTATTAAAATTTCATTTTTTATCCAGCTATATTCCATTTATTATCAGATTCTTCAAATTTTTTGTTCTGTCCTTTGTAGGTTTTTAGAATTAAGGTTATAGTGAGCTTCATAAAATCAGTATTTCCTGTTACTTGAAATTCCAGGTTTAAAATAATTTCCCTTTATATTTACTTTTTCAGATTTTGTTTCAGCTTTGGATTGATTTCATTATTTTTTGTTTTATAAAAATATTTTATCAAGATTTTAAATAGATAAGAATAGAGAATTTTTGCTTATTTCATATTTACTGTACCTACCAAAACTTTCAACATGTCATAATTCTGTATTATATTCCTTTTCTCAGCTTAGTTTTTTGGAATAAACAAAACAAACTTTCCTATTGCAGATTTAATTGTGTGTGTGTGTGTGTGTGTGTGTGTGTGTATGAGTGTGTGTGTGTGTTCATTTGTGTATATGATGATGCACATGCATATGCAAGTGCATATGGAGACAAGAGACAACTTTGGATATCATTTCTCAGGTGCCATCTACCATCACACCTGCTTCTTTTTTTTTATTATTTTTATTTTTTTAGTTGGTTTGGGGGATCAAACTCAGATCCTTGTGCCTGCACAGCAAGTACTTCAGCCACTGAGCTCTTCAGTTCCTATGTTGTATTTCTAACTCATTGATTTCTGTTCTGTTATTTTTATCATGTTCATGAGCACTGTTTTCTTTTTCTCATACCTCGAACTAAATGTTATCTTTCTTGGTGGTGGTTGTTGTTTTGTTTTTTATTAACAATGAAATGATCCCAGATTGTAAGGTCTAGCTAAAAGTGTAGCATCTATCTACCCTTCAAGTCCCAATTTAAGCATCGGCGTTTCTGGAAAGCCTTGTCATAAATCACTGCTGACCTTCTTAATTTATCTAATTAACTAAATTTAATTCCAATTTAAGGATGTTTTAAAATCTGAGCAGTGTTAGGCTTGAAAATAAAATTGATAAGAAAGTAGAAAGTGTTTCCATATGGCATCTTGCCTCAACAATTTCTCTTGTTATTGACATCTTCTTGCCTCGGTGTGCAGCTTTGAAATTGACAAACCAATATCGAAATACAGTTTACTAATATGTTAGTTAATAATTATGCATTTACTGAATAAGCATCAGTACAATCTAATTTTAGAGCTGCTTTTCATTTAACATGTGGAATAAGTACCAACCTGATTTGTCCAGCAGCTGCAGCATTTCTGATCTTACCAACCATGTGTGCAGGCTCTGCCTTCTCTGTCACGGCTTGCTCATTACCACCTGCCTTTTCAATTCAGCTTTGTAGAATGGGGAGTCGGATCTTGTGATTTTGATTTGCCATATATTATGGGGCATTTTTAAGTGACTAAAATAGCTGTTTGTATCTCTTTGGGGGGGAAAAATTCGAATTTGTACCGCATTAAATAATGCCTTCTAAAATTTTCCTGTTTACCCAGAACCTCAGAGTGTAATTTAGAAATCAGGGTGCAAATGTAATTAAGATAAGGTCATATTGGATTAAATTTGCTCCCAAATCTCGCTGCTGTTCTTATAAGAAGGACACATGCACGTAGAAAGAATGTAGATGACCAGGCATAAATCACAGTTACAGTTAGAATATGAGGAATGCAGAGGATTGCTACAACCACTAGACTGTGGGAAAGCTTCTAGCCCTGTTGCTTTTAGAGACATAACACTGTCAAAACTACCTAGTTTGTATGGTTTGTTATAGAAATCCTAGGAAACAAAATTCTTCGCCTGTCATTTTTTAAGGTATTTTTATTTCATGTGTATAGTGTGTGTCTGCTTGTATGTATATGCAACATGTGTGTGCCTGTTGCCTGCAGAAGCCAGAAGTGGATTCTGGATGCCTTGGAACTGAATATATAGATGGTTATAAACCATGTGGGTACTGGAACTGAGCCTGAGTCCTCTGCAAAAAAAGCAGATTCCTTTAACTGCTGAGCCGTCTCTCCAGCCCCATCTTAGCCAGTCCTTTATGTTATCTTTTTAGTATTGAGTTACACGAGTTCATTATATGTTTCTGGATGCAGAGTCTATTTTAGGTATGACAAGTATTTTTCCTCATTATGGAGGTTGTCATTTCACTATTTTTGATATCATCTGTAACACAAAAAATTCAGGGCTGATAATGGCTTTTTTACAGTATGTGGACATTAGTAAGAGTTCTTCTCTACTAATAAAATTAAGACCTGACCTAATTCAAAGTCCTGTAATTCTTTCTGAGACTTTAATCGTTTCAGCTCTTATACTTGGGCCTATGATTCATTTTGATTTAACTTTTTTAGATGGTGTAAGAGTCTAACTTCATTCTTTTTCATTTGTTTATCTGATTGTTCCTACACCACTTGTTAATGAGATTTTTTTTCCTCACCTAATTTCCATGTTACCATTATCAAAACACAACTGATCAACTAGATTTGGCAGTTGTATGATGCAAACACTGGAGAGGCTGAGGCAAGAGAATCACAAGTTTAAGGCTAGCCTGGGCTATGTAGTAAGTTCTAGGCTATACTCAGATACATAGTGAGAACTTTTCTCAAAAACCAACACACAGAAAAGCAATTACCATAGAGTTTATTTCTAGGCATTTAATTGTTGTCATCTGTACTATAGTGCCTTGATTTATTTTGCCACAAGTTTTGAGACTATAAAGTATGAGCCCTCCAGTGGGGTGTGGTGGTTCATGCCTTTAATCCCAGCACTTGAGGCAGAGGCAGGTGGATCTCTGTGAGTTCAAGGCCAGCCTGATTATAGAGTGAGTTCCAAGACAGCCAAGGCTACATAGAGAAACGCAGTCTTTGGAAAAGAAAAAGAGTCCTCCAACTCTATTCTTTCTCGGGTTGTTTTGTCTACTGAGTCTGTTGAATTTTCCTATGAATTTTAGGATCAGTTTGACAATTCTTATAAGATGGAAAGCCTAGATTCTGATAATGATTGAACTGAATCTGTAGATTTGTGGAGAGTCCTGTCACATTAACAATATTAAGTTTTTCAGCTCATGAATAAAAGAGTTCTTTTGTTTAGGGCTTTAGTTTCTTTCAGCAATGTTATACAGCTTTCAAAGTATGTATTTTATACATAGAGTGTATATGCCAGTGTGAAAGGAGTTTTTCTCTGTTTTGATTCTTCATTGCTAATATGTATAGGAATACACTGAAGTTTGTGTATGGACTATGTATCCTCCAGACTTAATGGGTTCATTTAGTAGTTCTAATAGTTTTCTACTAGAGTCTCAAGGATTGTTTTTTTAGCTTAATTTTATTTATCATTTGTGCATGCATGGGTTCGTATGTATACAACTTTTAGTAGTCAGTAGTCAGTTCTCTCCTTCCCAGTGGCTAGGAGAACAGAACTTAGGTTGTCAGGCTTGGCAGCAAGCAGTGGTAACCACTGAGCCACCTTGCTGGCTCCACACCTTCTAAATATAAAACCATACCCACAAGTGGAGATAATGTAGAATCTTCCTTTTTGATAAGATTGCTATATAGTTCAATGTTTTTAGATATTCAGTTTTTTCTTAAATTCAGTTTTAGCAGTTTATGTTTTTCTGGGACTTGTGTTTTTAATCTAATTTATCTATTTCTTGGCATACATTTATTAATAGTACTCTTATCTTTTTGTGTAAAAGTATGATTTTGGTAGCATGATTCCTTTTTCTTTTTTTTATTTTTTATTGTGTGGGGAGGGCACCCCACACACAATATATGTTAGTGTGGCATTGGTAGAATCATTTCAGCTCCCTTTCACAGTTTGCCTTGGTGTCTTCCCATTTTGTTTTCAGTTTTAGCTGTGATTTGAATTAGAAGTTTATTAGTGGAGGCTGGAGAGAGGACTCAGTGGTTAGAGTACTTGTTGCTCTTGAGGAGAGTCCAGGTTTGGTTCCCAGCACTCACGTGGCTGCAACTCTAGTTCATTCCTGTGACTCTGTAACATTCTTGTAACTCTAGTGCCAGAAATCCAGCACTCTCTTCTGGCCTCCTCAGGTATTGCATGCATGTGGTATATAAACACACAGGCAAAAAATATCCACACACATAAAAATAATAAATGTATTTTAAGTATGTTAGTGGTAGTACTTGGTCATTTAATTCTTAGCAGCTGTGTTTCCAAACAATGTGAACTTCTAATCGCCAGCTCAGATTTTTTTTAAGTTATTTTTTCTTGTCTAAGTAGACCATTCACTGGGGTGTCTTCCCTAGGTTTATGTCACTTATGACTCAGAATTTGTGCTTGAACACTGCCCTCCTTAACATAGTATTTTTGTTATTTACTGTTGATTGTGTGTGGCTTGGAGGCTACCACCACAATTCAAAATGTTTCTATTTTTGTCTCTCCTTTATCCAAATACCAATAGCTTCAAGGTTTACTCTCTGACCATTCCAAAATGTGTATAGCCTTGAGGGTGAACACAGATTTCCAGATGTCCAAGTACTGACTGGATAGTATTCTTAATTCTTAGCTTCTTTAGAGTTAGCCCAGAGTTAGGAATCTTATGGAGTGCCTGTGAGACTCTTTGGTCATCACACTCTGTGTCAATGCTTCTCATCCTTCCTAATGCTGAGACCCATAACACAGTGCCTCATGTTGTGGGGACGCCCCACCATAAAATTATTTTCGTTGCTACTTCATAACTGTAATGTTGCTACCGTTATGAATTATAATGTAAATATCTGTGTTTTCCTATGGTCTTAGGCCACCCCCATGCAAGGGTGATTTAGTCCCCAAAGGTTGGGATACACAGGTTGTGAACCACTGTTCTAGCTGCTCTTAAGTGCATTCTGATGCATGTGCACAGGCTTCTTGACTCGAAGAATTGACTGATCCCAGGCAGTTCTTAGTCTCTCTTTTCCTGGTTCTTACTGCTGCTGTGCTGTTCACGTGTATCAGAGTTGCCGGCTTGTCCTTAGTGCTTTAATCCAAATTCTGGTCCAAATAGTTGTTCTTCTGAGTCTTTTTCATATTCTTACTGCTATATAGTCTGTATATATAATTTAATTAGCAAACAAATGAATGGTATAACCTTTTGTTTTGTAGCCGAGAGACGCACAAGATTGCAGTATTTTACGTTGCTGAAGGACAAGAAGATAAATACTCCATTCTCACCAATATAGGAGGAAGCCAAGCATATGAAGATTTTGTAGCTGGTCTTGGTTGGGAGGTATTGTTTTTAGGTTATACCAATCATCATTTTATATTTAACCCTCAGTCAACCTTCAGATACCAGGATCCAAGGATGTTCCAGCCCCTCATATAAAACAGTGGGATACTTGCCTAAAACTAATGCATATCCTCTTGTATACTTTAAAGCATTCCTAAGTTACTTCTACCAAGTAGTCTAAATAATGTATATTCAATTGCTACGCTATGCTGTTTAAGAATAGTTACCAGAGGGACTGGGACTATGAACCAGATGGTCAAGTGCTTACCTGTTGAGCATGAGGCTTGAGTTTGGGTCCCCAGGACCCATGTAAAAGCTAGGCACAGCAGCAAGAATCTGTAACCCCAGCACTGGGGGAGCAGAGACAAACAGATCCTGATTGCTCACTAGCTAACTAGCTAGCCAAATCCACAAAGTCCAGATTCAACAGATGACTTGGGTTTTGATGAATATATAGTTAAAGCAGTATCATGGAAATAATAACCTTGGTAGCCATTTAAACTTACAATGAAATTTTTTCTTATAGTTGACAGTTATTTCACAAAATTTGTATTGAGGGTATCTTTCAAAGTTGTTGAAGACCATTGCACTAGACTATAAACTTGTCAAGGCTAGCACTTCTGTCTTACTGACTTCTGCTTTCAATACCAGAACTTCCCACAGTGTCTGATATGTGAGCTTTACCTATCCCACTCGGTGTGTATTGTATGGGTTAGCAGCCAGTTTACCTTATGGGAATTATGTAAGCTCTCCAAGCCTCTATGTTTATTTCTCACAGGTAATAATATACTTTGTTACCCAGCAGAGATGACAAAAAAAATTCAGTTAAGATGGTGTATGTAAAAATGTCTTGAAAACACAGCAAATGGGTTTTTTGTATTGAAGAACTATAGAATCATTACTAAAAGTAGGGATACATGAGAAGAGCAAATTGAAAGGATTATATATACCTCTTGATTTCAAAATTTACTAAACAATACTAATCAAGATAGTGTGGTATTAGCAAAAGGATAGACCTACAGATCAGTGGAATAGAACATAAAGAACAGAAATAAGCTCACACATTTATAATCAGTGATTTTTTTTTTTACCTAAACCATCCAGTGGAGAATGGATAATCTTTTCAACAAATGTTGCTGTCATAACCAGATAGCCATATGCCCAAAAAAAAAAAAAAAAAAAAAAAAAAAAAAAAAGTCAGGGACGTGGAGAGATGACTCAGTAGTTAGGAGAGTTTGATTCCCAGCACCCATGTTGGGAGCCTCACAACTGCCTGTAACTCAAGTTCCAAAGTATCCAGCAACCCTCTTCTAGCCACTAGAGGTGCTTGCAGTTGTGTGCACATACCCACCACCACACGTGCACACCAACACTAACAACACAGGCATATACACATAATTAGGAATAAACTAGTTTAAATGAAGTCAGACCATACTATATATAAGAATTAACTCAAAATGGATCCAAAATTATAAAATACTTAGAAGATAATATAGGTGCAAATATTATGACCTTGGATTTGGCAAAGATTTCTTAGATCTAACACTAAAAGCATGAGCAAGAAGGAAAATAGTACTCATCAAAATTAAAACCTTTGTGCTTCAAGGACATCACCAGCAAAGTGGAAAATTCCACAGATGGGGAAAATAATTGCCAATCATATATTTGAGAAGAGATTTGTACATAGAATATTTGAAGAACTCACACAAATTAAAAAGGAGAATGCAATTCAGTTCAAAAATGCCTACACTAGTGGACATGCCAGCATAGACAGGAGAGGATTTCACAAAATTCCCCTGGTGAAGAACAACAGGAATCAGCGGCTGCTGAGGGGGGAAAACGGGAGGTTTGCTTTTTTTTTTTTTTTTTTTTTTTCAGGAATAGGACCACAATCCTAAGTAGTCAACCCTGAACATGTAAACAAGGGCAACAGTAACTGGACTCAGAATAACAAAAATAAAGGAAGAAAAAGCGATCTTGAATTCAAGAGGAGATTATTGAGAGGGCACAAGAGGAGGGTTGGGGGAGGGAGATGAAAATAATACAAATGCCACTGTATGAAATAATGTAAATATACTCATGTATGAAATCCTCCAGTTAAAAAAATGGCCACAGGAACGTAACAGATATTACTCCAAAGATAGGTAAATGTTCAATAAATACATGAAAAGACTCTTGATGTCATGAGCCATCAGGGAAATGAGGAAACCACACTGAGTATCTCTTCATACCCAGCAGGGTGGTTAGATTAAAAAAGTCCAGAAATATCTTTGGCTGGGATTTAGAGCAATCTGAACTCTCATATTCTGCTAGAGGGGACGTAACATGCTGTAACATAGTTAATTGGGTAGTTAAGCATAGAAGTGCCATATCCACATTAGGGTTACAATAGCTGTGATGAAACACCATGACCAAAGCAACTTGGGGAGAAAAGGGTTTATCTGACTTACAAGTTCACATCACTGTTCATCATTGAAAGAAATCAGGACAGGAACTCAAGCAGGGCAGGAACCTGGGGGCAGGAGCTGATGCAGAGACCATGGAGGGGAACTGCTTACTGACTTGTTCCTCATGGCTTGCTCAGCCTGCTTTCTTATAGAACCCAGGACCACCAGCCAGGCATGGCACCAGCCTCAATGAATTGGGTCCTCCCCAATCAATCACTAATGAAGAAAATGCCCTACAGCCGGATCTTATGGAGGCATTTTCTCATTTAAATGTTCCCTCCTTTCAGATAACTCCAGCTTGTGTCAGGTTGACATAAAACTAGCCAGGATACCTTATAACAAAATAGTTCTGCTATGTGCACACCCAGAAAAAATAAAAGCTTAAGCTTACACAAAAACTTACACATCTGTGTTCATTGCTGCATAGTAACAAAATGGCAAAACAACCTATATGTATATCCATAAGTGAATAAATGAATGAATAAATGTAGTATATTCCTACAAGTGAATATTAGCCATAAAAATGGATGAATATTGTGATGCTTAATTTTGATTGTCAACCTGATGGGATTTAGAATCACCATGGAAACAAATCTCTGACATGAGGGACCTTTTAAATTAGGTTAATTGAGGTGGGAAACTCCACTCTAAATTTGGGTGGTAGCATTCCATGGGTTGGGGTCCCAGACTGAATAAAAAGGGAAAGCAAGCTGAGCACAGCATTCATTGTTCTCTGCTTCCTGATTGGGGGCGCAACATTCCTCAGCTGGAGAAGTCAGTAACTAAAACTATATAGACAAACTATAAAAGCCAGAGAACTGGGAAGTGAGCCCCTAGAAAAACTGCACACATATGTCAAAGGTCAGATAGGAAGCCTAGACTTCCATCTTCTCTAGGCAGTAAGGAGAAGCTCCCCACACTGAGGTAGTATCAGATGATGTCAGAGAAGGCGGAGAAAGCCAATGATTTCAGCTCTTACCAGAACAATTTCTTGGTTTCTGTGCTACAACCCTGATACTGATATATATTGTATATTATATCATGACCTAAAATGTTTCCAGATCTTCATACAGCTCAATTGATAGCTTTTTAGATGTAGTTGAAGTGCAGTTAAATTTTGTGATTTTTTTTCACATTTTTTTATTCTAGTCTGGAATGGGTACTGACTAGAAAGACAGTTTTATAAATAAATATGAGACATCTAATTGATGATTTTTCGAAGTTGACATTGTTTTAACATTTCCCCAAGTCATTTCAGCTTTGATTTTTACTCTGACTTAAGTGCCTCCCAAAGCCTTTCTAGTTTACTGTTAACACCTAGTTGCCTAATGTAAGTTCATAGTAAACAACAGCTGATTTCTTTCTTAATTAGCTCCTACTAATTAGAGATCCTTAAATACTATTTTAAAAAAATACTGGGGTGAACAAATCACCTCTAGTAAAGTTTCCTCTTGGTATAATATTGGTGAAATTATTAAGGCCACTCCATGTAGTTAAAGGAGATTTATTTGCCGGGCAGTGGTGGCACACGCCTTTAATCCCAGCACTCGGGAGGCAGAGCCAGGTGGATCTCTGTGAGTTCGAGGCCAGCCTGGGCTACCAAGTGAGTTCCAGGAAAGGCGCAAAGCTATACAGAGAAACCCTGTCTCGAAAAAACCAAAAAAAAAAAAAAAAAAAAAAAAAAAAAAAAAAAAAAAAAGGAGATTTATTTAATGGCGTAACTTACAAATGAAGGGATAGGTAGGTTGAGGGTTCTGGGAAAGATGCAGCACAGTCCAGCAGTGTTCTCTGGAGAACTCTCCTTGGTCCACCTCTAGCATGGGGGGGGGGGGGGGCAGCAAGAAGAGAGCGCGTCACATTCCAATCTCGGGTCTTCAGGGCCCTCCCTTGGCCCTACCTTGTAGGCGTGATAGTTACCGAAGCCTCAATGGGGATTGAAACTTCCAGACCAAAGCTGGAATGGCTACCCACTACAGTATAATATGTGGGAATTGGTTCCAGGTCCCCCTTCAGATACTAAAAATTCACAGTACTCACATCCTTTATATAAAATGGCAGCATAATGCACATTTTCCTGAATAATATATGAATTACTAATAATACCCAATAAAATGTAAATATTGTGTAAGTAGTTGTTGCATCAGGCCATGTGTGGTCATGGCACATGCCTTTGAGTCCAACATTTGAGAGGTGGAGACAGGAGATCAGGAGTTCAAGGCCAACCTGGCCTATGTGAAGCCCTGTATCAAACTAGTTGTCATACTATATTACTTAGGAAATACTAATAACAGAAGATAAAAGTTTGTACCTGTTTGGTACAAGCTCATTTTTTCTGAATACTTTCAATTCATAGTTGGTTGAATCTATAGATGTGGATCCTACAGATACAGAGAGCCAGCTGTAATGCTAGATTTAATATTGGCCAATAGCATATAAAAGACCTTACTCCTTTTTCCCCCTTTTATTGAAAATAGATTTTTTTCTCACACAATATATCCTGATTAGGTTTCCCCTCCCTCTATTCCTCCCAGTTCCTTCCCACCTCCCCTCCCATCCAGATCCACCCCCTTTCTGTCTCTCATTAGAAAACAGGTGTCTAAGGATAATAATATAATGTAATATAATAAGGTAAAACAAAAGCTAACACATCAGAATGAGACAAAACAAACCAGAAGGAAAAGACCTAAGAGAAGGCACAAGAAACAGAGACCCACTCATTCACACACTTAGAAATCACACTAAAAAACAAAAACACCAGCACTGAACTGGAAGCCATAATATATATGCAAAGGACCTGTGGGGTAAAATGAGAGACTATATATCATATATAATACATAATAAAAATAAAAAGTAATAAAATAAAAATACTTTTAAAAGGAAAAAAAGATGGGAAAGTCCTGACATGACACTATGAGACAAGGAACCTCCAAAGATGCCAGTAAGTTTGTTTTCTCTGGGCCATTTACTGCCGGCCATACAGCCTACCCTTAAGAATGGTTTGTTTCCCCAGTGAGATTTTCTTGGAGGAAATTCAATTTTCATTTGCAAGTGCTTTATCAGTTGGAGATTGATTCTGAGTTAGGGATAGGGCCATGTATCCACTTTGCCTTTCAGCTCTAGGACCCCATCTGGTGCAGACCTTGTGCATGCTGCCTCAGTCTCTTTGAGTTCACGTGTGGGTCAGTCTTGTTGTTTTAGAGGACCTTGTTTTCTTAGTGTCCTCCATCCCCTCTGGCCCTTACACTCTTTCTGCCTCCTCCTCTGTGGGGTTCACTGAGCCTTGAGGGAAGGGATTTGATGGATACAATCTGTTTAGGGCTGAGTGTTCAAGGTCTTTCATTTTCTGAATAATGATACAGGAGGAAGCTTCTCTGATGATGGCTGAGCAAGGCACTGATCTATGAGTATAGCAGAATGAAAAGACCATATTCCTAATGGCTCTGTAAAGTGCTTTTTTTTTTCCTTTGTCAACAGTGTTTCTGAGGTTTTGTTGTTGATTTTGTAATTCTTCATTGTTTCTAGGTAAACCTTACAAATCATTGTGGCTTCATGGGAGGACTTCAGAAGAACAAAAGCACTGGACTAACCACTCCGTATTTTGCTACCTCTACAGTAGAAGTAATATTTCATGTATCAACAAGAATGCCTTCTGATTCCGATGACTCTCTGACCAAAAAAGTAAGTGGCAAGTTAAAGAAAAAATATATATATATACCAACATCCAATTGGTAGATCCCTGCTGGAGGGTAAAGAGCTTGTTTCTTTAACCAATGCCATCTTCAAAACCAGGATTGTTACTCAGACAGTGGTGGCACACGCCGTTAATTCCAGCACTCGGGAGGCAGAGCTAGGCGGATCTCTGTGAGTTCAAGGCCAGCCTGGTCTCCAAAGCGAGTTCCAGGACCGGCACCAAAACTACACAGAGAAACCCTGTCTCTAAAAGCCGGAGGGAAAAAAAAAAAAAAAAGAGGAAAACAAAACCAGAATTGTTGCATAATAAATTGTGTTTTCCTTTGATAAGGAAAACAACGGTGTGATGAAAGATTACAATCTTTTTTGAATTTTTCTTTGTTTAGGTTTATTTTTAATCACTTTAATATGTGTGTCTGTGTGAGTGTGTGCCACATGTGTGCAGGTATAGAAGAGGCCAGGAAAGACTCTCAGATCTCCCAGGAGTGTGAGCCACCCAGTGTGGGCGCTGAGAACTGAACTCAGGTCCTCTGGAAGAGCAGTAAGTGCTCTTAACCACAAAGCCATCTCTCTAGCTTACTTTGCTTTTTTTTTTTTTTTTTTTTTTTTGAGACAGGGTTTCTCTGTGTAGCTTTGCACCTTTCCTGGAACTCACTCTGTAGCCCAGGCTGGCCTCGAACTCACAGAGATCCGCCTGCCTCTGCCTCCTGAGTGCTGAGATTAAAGGTGTGCGCCACCACCACCCGGCTTACTTTGCTATTTTTAATAAATTTTATTTTGTAATATTTGATGTTACAGCAGTATGTTTAGAAAATATGTATAAGTGGTAAATTATTTCTGTGATGAGGCAAATTAATTTATCCATCATTCATTAAGTAGTTAACTTTTCTGTGGTAATAGCAGCTAAAATTCAAATGTCTTTGAACACAAAAATCTCATTTTTGAACCAATACACTTGTTCACTAGATTCCTAGATGTGTTAACCTACACACTGCTACTTTGTATCCTTTGGCCTTTATCTCCCTAGTTCTCTCCCTGACTTCAGCAACTGCATTACTGTTTTGGTTTGGTTTTGATTTCCTGTTCATTTGGTATGTGTCCTTTGTTTGTTTGTTTGTTTGGAGACATAGTTTTGCTGTGTAGTCCTAACTATTCCTGAACTCATGATCATCTTGCTCAATCTCTTGAGTGGTGGGATTATAGGTATATATCAAAACAAACCTGGGTAATTATTATATTTTTGTATATTTGATTTTTTTAATTCTGCATATAAACATGGTCATATGTTTTCTTTGCTTGGCATATTTTTCTCTTAGCATAATCGCCTTCAGGTTTTTCCATGTTGTAACAAATGGCATAATCTTCTTTTTTAAAGCTAATCAGTGTTTTATCACACCCACATATACCACATTTTCTTTATCCATTGATCGTGAATGGATACTGTCCTGCTTTTGTTTCTGTTGTTGGGATAAAAATTATGGAAGAAAGGGTCTATTTTAGTTCACGATCCCAAGTTACAGACCATCGCTGTAGGAAGTCAAAGCAGGAACTTCAAATAGCTAATCATATCATCCACAATCAAGAGCAGAGAGTCATGAATGTACACATGTTCACCCACTTGCTCGCTTCTGCTTAGCCTAACTTCTCCAGTCTTACATAGTTCAGGGACCCCTGTCTATCCTTTGCACAGTGGCCTGGTCCTTCCCACATGACTTTCCTTAATTAAGACAGTTCTCCACAGGTCAACCAAATGCTTGATTGAGACTCTCTTCCCAGATAATTCTTGGTTGTATCAAGTTGATGGCTAAAGCTAGCCATCACAGATCTATAGGATGTTTCCATTTCCTAGTTATTATGAATATTCTGCAAGAAACCTAGGAATGTAGGTACTTTTATGAGATCATAGCCTAGTTTACTTTGTCAACTTAATATAGCCTACAGTCATCTGAGAAGAGAGCCTTCATTGAGGGATTGCCTAGATCAGATTAGCCTGTGAACATGTCTTTGGTAGAGATGGTTCTTATTGATACAGGAGGGCCCAACCCACTCTGGGCAACGCTATTCCTTGGCAGATGGTTCTGGAGTGAATACAAAAACTAGCTAAGAATGGACCTTTAAGTGAGCCAGCAGGGACTTGCTGTATTTCCTTGTCTGTGAAGAGTTCATGCTTGAGTTCCTGCCCTGCTTTCCCTCAGGGATAGATTATGAGTGGTAAGCTAAAATAAATCCTTTCCTCCTTTCAGTTGCTTTGGGTCAGAGTGTTTTATGACATCGACAGAAAGGAAACTGGAACAGGCATGTGCTCAGAGCAGAGATTGGTAGTTCACATGTAGTTCTTTTCTTGTCAGTCTCTATACTGTTTCCTGTAACTGCTCCATTTCTGCACATTGCACCAGTGATGAATGAGTATCCCCTTTTCTCTACGCTCTCAGTGCTCACCTCTTTTTTTATCATAGCCACCCACCAAATCTTGTAGTGTTTTTAATTTCACATTCTCAGAGTAAGTAACTCCCCTGACCCTGATCACCTACCTTTCTATGCACCTCTTTGGTTTAACTCTCTCAGGAGAAATATGTGTTCTGGTCCTTTGTCCATTTTTGACTGTCTGTTTCATTTTCTGCTTATTGAGTTGTAAATGTTCTTCATAATTTTGGCTATTGACCCTATATCAGATATGTGGTTTGCAGATGGTTTGTTTTTTCCCAAGTTGGTGGGTTGCCTTTCTTGCCTTTTGACTTTGTTCATCTTGGTTCTGTAGTACATGTATTTGATGTGACAAACCAAAAACCAAATATTGCTAAAACCAGTGTCAAGTAGCTGCCCCCTATGTCTTTTCAGGACTTAGACTTAGGTCTTTTATACAGGTGGAGTTTATTTTTATGAATGGTGGAAAATACAAGTCTCATTTCATTAGTTTGTGTGTGGAAATCTAGGTTTCCATTCTGTTTATTGAAGAGATTATCCTTTTTTGCATGCATTATTGGCATCCATATTGAGACATTTGTACTTATTTACACATTCTCTATTCTGTCACCTCAGTCTACACATTTATTTTTATGACAGTGCCATCTTGATTACTGGGGGGTGGGGGTCTTAATTTTATCCATGAATTCTAGTTCATTGTTAATTCTGGCCCTTGTTATTTCCTGAGTTTTTACAGTATCAGACAGTAAGCATGTCTTTTTATGGTTGAGTACTTTAGACACCAGAAGCAGGCCTTAGAAGGAAAAAAAAAAAAAGACAACAAAACTTGCTCTGACTTTCACCTCTCCCTCTTCTACTGAAGGCAGGCCATAGACACTAATCAGCTCCTGCCTTCTGTCTTGGAAGTAGCCATAAATCAATTATCTTGACATGACTTGTCTGCAAGTAAATCATAAGATCCCCATTTCAGAAGAGCTCTCACCCCACACCTGTGGGAAAGGAATGCTTCACACAAGACCAAGAAGAATCAGCAGACAGCTCTGCTGAGTTCCCCCACTCCACCTGATAGCATTAGTCATGCTCTTAGTCCAGTGACGTTTCTGCAGTGCTTCAGTCATGGCTGTGCCATGAAGTCTCCACATGTGAACCAAAGGACAGTGTCCAGAGAATTTCTGGATAGCCAAACACACCGGGGTTCCTGGAGAATGGCCTTGCCAGAAACAGCATGGAAGTTCCACACCCCTGCTTTCATTTTAGCCTGCACATTTGTGATGCCTAATCTTGATGGTCAGATTGACTAGATTTGGAGAGAGCATTCTCAAGGCATTTAACTAAGGGGGGAAGACTCTCTCCTCCCCAGATGTGGGTGGCATCATTTTCTAGGTTGGAGACTCAGACTGAAAACAGAAAGTCAGCTAAGTGCTAGTATTTCCTTCTCTCTGCTGTTTGGTCAGCGCTGCAGATCAAACCACTCTGCAGATAAACTTATTCCTCAGTTCACTTCCTCTCACACTCTGTCTTTCCCCCATTACTTTCTGCCTCCATAGTTTGCCAGTTCTAGAAGTATAATAAGTAGGGCATACAATATTTGTCCTTTTGCACTGTCTTATTTAGCTGAACATTTTTTAGGTTTTGTGCATGTGTAGCACATCAGAATTTCATTCTTTTATATGGCCAGATATCTAATTGTATGTATGTACTGCATTTTATTTATCTGTGTATCTGTTAGTAGACATTTGGGTTGTTTCCACCTCTTGACTATTGTGAATCATACTGCAGGAACCATTGGCATACTGTTTAGATGCTGGCTTTTTACTCTTTTGCCTGTATACCTAGGACTACCATTGTTGGGTTACGTTCACACTATATGTTGCGCTTTCTGAAGATGTTTAGTACCAGCTGCACCACGTTACATCCGTGTCAGGCTTGCACAGTGGTCCCAACTGTAGATGTAATTCAGTGGTCTTATCAAACAAGAAACACAGAGCCGATTCAGAGAAGAAAGCCAAGAGGTCAGAGCCAAGAGCCTCACCCTTCCTGATTCAGGGATCCTCCTCAGCCAAGAGAGCTCTCTGAAAGAGAGAGCCCTCCTTCCTGTGTGTCTGTCTCTCTAGTCTCCTTGTTCTGGCTTCTGATTGGTTGTAAACCCAATCATGTGACTGCCTCGTCACTGCCTGTATGTACCGCCCTCCAGGTCCTTAAAGGCGTACACCACCACTGCCACGCACTTGCTATGGCTCTAATAGCTCTGACCCCAGGCAACTTTATTTATACCACCACACCCAACCTTTCCACATCATCACCAACACTTGTTAATTTGCATCTTTTCTAGAAAAAACTATAGACATCCTGATAGGTGCTGAGTAGTTATTTTGTTTGTTTGAAGACAGAATTTATTTGTCTATCACGGGCTTTTCTTGAACTCACTGGGCAGCACATACTGGCCTCAAACCTCCTAGTCTTCCTTCCTTTCTCTTCTTACCACCATGCCTGTCCCAAAGTAGCTGTTTCCCTTTAGTTTTCGTTCACATTTCTGTAACAACTAATGATAGTGAGCATCTTCT